AATTCACTGACACGAATTGGGTCGACAGTTTGCTATATGCATACTTCAATAACAAGAAGGATTGATCCAACTGAAGTCAGATATAAGGCCTCTAAGATGGTGAACCCATCGATAACATTGTTCGGTCTAGTTGACGGGTCCCACAGCTATCATTTCGCCAACTTAGAAGCCAGCGTTTGCTTTTAAAGGTTTTTGCTAACAAACTACATGCGCATCCAACATATAAAAGTGACCGAAAGTAGTTCCGAACATGCTTGTGTAATCTGAGTGTTTCTTATGAGGTAAACGTCTTTAAACTCTGGTTTCCTAGTGTGACAAGTCTAGTTTTCATCACACTAAAGACATTTTACGTTTTCGTTTCTGTTTGTTCTTAGAGTTTCCTACATAAACGTGGCCTGATTGAGGGCAACTAATCATCTGCTTTCGGTTACGTGGATTTGGAAGTGATATAACACATTTTTGAGGCAATAGTTATTTATTTGTGATAAAGTTTATGAAGTAGATATTGTTTCAGTTGACATCGCAACAAGTGTAATTTTAAGATGTAATTGATCTCTTCACATTGTGGAATTAAGTTATCTTCTTGATATTATTCGTACTAAAAGTAAAAGAAAAAAATGTAGAAACTCGAACAAAAATACACAGTACGCAAACGCGTTCGAACTTGTAAATGAAAGTAAAAAATAATGTGATTAAAAATACACCCTCTACTTATTAGAAAGTCACAATTATTTTTGCGTCTCCACTGAAGTAAGTATCAAGAATAAGAAAACTCAATTTATTCTACGCCTTACTTTGCTATTCAACAGATACCAATAAGGATTGTCAGTGGATTATTAAATTAACTGTTATGTTTCAAATACTAAGCTTCCAATGACTCTGAGCCATTGTAGGACTTTATCGTGCAAACAAAGTAGGACGGAAACATAGATGCTGATTGCATTAATTAAAACGAAAAATATGATGCAAAACTTACTGGATTAAAACCAACGAGTTTTATTACATTTTCTTTTGGAGGACATGCCTTTAAGTAAGATGTAAAGTTACCAAAACAACGAGTTAAAAGTGACTACATCTAATTTATGTGCGCATAGCCGCTGAACATGTTACTGAGTGACGTTTACCACGCTGAAATATTTTGATGTTTGCGTGAAGTCTATGAAAACTAAACAACCCAAATTCAGACTATTCACGTCTTTCCTGCAATACATACCATGGATTTTCAGAAAATCAACACATTGAAAATTTTTGTGACCGCTTCTATTCTAATGATTTCCACCACTGGATTCAATTGTGGTTTGTGTCGTGAGTATTATCTACCAGGCGTATAAAACTAGAACGAAACAGCTGGCCAGTTTATGTCGGTTTCCAATGATGTCAGTCTGTGATTTAACTGAATTCTAAACTCCTCCAGCTGTTCATTGCATATTTAATGATTTTAGAGAAGACCCCTCATTCAAAATGCCTCGTTGAACGTAGATATTAATTAAGAAAATGAACAAAGACTTCTGTCAATAGGAATTCATTCTTTTGACAGTCTGCAATTTACCACCATTGGAATACTGAAAATCAATATGACGATAAGTCGGCTATTATTAGATCAAAGGTTTATGGAAGAAGACCATTGTCTTTAATTATTTCTCATCAGCTTTGGCCTATAGTGATCGAAATCAATCGGTGAGATTTGTAGTTCTAATAATCTAGTTTATAATTTGCTTATAAATGTTTAAATGGTCAACATGTCGCAAAATATTATAGCCACTTTATACAAAATACTCTATAGATAGATAAGCTTTTCATTCAGTACGTGGAACAGGCTTAAATATTAATTATCTAGCAAATATAGGACAGATATTCACGATGGTGTATTTTGTATGAATAATATAAGGAACGATATTAGAGACCTTGCTTCTAGAAAGTTTCATGTTTTTAGACAAAAAACGGTTCCTGACAATTGCAAGATGAGAGAAATACTACACTAGCTTTGATAAACTGACATCCGATTTGTATAATAGGTATGCAAAGGAAGTTAAGATTTGGTGAAATGGGAAATTTAGACATTTATAAATGATGTTCATTATTGCACAAAACTTATATTTTCCAATGAGCGGAAAACAGAATACAGTTGATTGACCAAGTTACTCAATTTGCTTTGATAATGCTAATAACATTAAACAGCAAAAGGCCATTGAAAGCATTCATGTTCTGTTTGTCACCCACTGAGAAATAAAAAGTCTCACACAATAATGAATCTAATTGATTTGTTTCTAAAAGTTATCATCAGTTGTAATATGCATTGTGTTGTGGATCCCTGGTATATCTGGAGCTGAATAACGCAACTGAAAATTAGATATAAGATTTTGGTTAGTAACTAAAATGCTCTTAAACAGTTTTGACTAATTTGCAATCCCACTGGTTGTTGATAGAGGTACATCAGCACATTACTTAAAACTATTAACAATCGACCAGATTGTGGAATAAACACCTTATTAAAATGCTTACCATTTTTCGTTTCTCATAGGCTTTTTCATAAGGGAATATTTGAAGGTAAATCTAGAAGTCGATGATATAATATAATTTTTGTTGCATCAGTATTTCGAGTAGTCTTACTAAAAATAAGTACAAAACTTACAAGCATTCACGGCTCGAATAATTTCATAAAATTTGGTGATTTATTTCAATATTATACAGATTGTAAATGTAAACAGTGTTAATGGTATTTCGAAAAGCAATAAATTAATGAGTGAACTTTAGTCGGACTGTCACTTTGGGGAACACATAAAAACAGGTGGCTATAGCGTTACAAGCACACTTCACGACAATGCAAGAACGTATGATGTTTGTATGGTTGTGTGGCGGTCAAGTAACAGGTATTTTGCGATTCGCACAGCTCGAATCATGGATGACAAAACAATGAATGTTCATACTGAATTTACAGTGGAGAATTGTTTTCGATGATATCAAGCCTAACCAGACTGAACATTGTTGGTAGTGGACTCGTATGAAAATAATAGTGCATAAGTTAGATGTTTATAGTTCTATGCACAAAAGATTAAGCTGACTATTGCCGATGTGTCGCTTTTAAGCATTGTGAAATCATTCGATTATGCAATTGTTAGGGTTGAGAACATTTATATTATCCACATCTATCCTGAGGGGTTTGAATCCCACTCGTTTATCAAAATTTAATGGCAAACCCATAACAAACAATTCAAGCAGCAGATGTTGATCTTAATTATCCTGTTTTTGTTCATCAACAGACACAAACGATGGTTACAGTCCTTGCAAACTATTCAAACTTTACTGCGGATATATGGATGACAAATTCATCCTGTGTAAGGATAATATTTCACAACAAGATGTGCTTAGGCAGTTTAACGAAGTGCATCCAGCCATCCAGTTTACATCGGAGGAAGAGAGTGATGGCCGATTAGCCTTTTTGGACGTCCTCTTAACTAAGAGATCAGATAGATCGTTAAGAAGAAACATGAACAGAAAAAGTACTTGGACTGGACAGTATACACACTTCCTTAGCTTTGTACCTCTACAGTACAAACGAAACCTAATCAAAACCCTTAGCTATGGAATACGCACTATATATTTGGCGGATGTAGTTGACAATGAGCTAAACACATTGCATAATGCTCTAAGGGAGGACGGGTATCCCAGAAAATTTATAATTAAATATATGATCTTTAAAGTGAAAATAGGCGAATTCCAAATGGTCAAGAAAAAGTCCTTGTTCATGCGCCTACAATTCAGGGGGGATGCCGCTAGCAAAATACTTGCTCAGAGATTACGTAGATCTATACAAAAATCTTTCAACGCCGGTGAACTACGTTTGGTGTTTTCTACGCGTCCAATGGTGACACCGAGGATAAAAGATGAAGTTCCTAGAATGACCACTTCAGTTCGACTGCTCCTGTGGAGCAAGTTATAGTGGTCGAAGTTCTAGGAATTCACATTTTTGTGCTCGTGAACACCTCCCAGCGTGGCTAAGCAAAGGTCTGATGAGGAAAGTAAACAGCTCGATTTTGGCCCATTTAGTACAAACTGGTCATAGTGCCAGTATAAACCAATCTTTTTCAATTATTTATAGGGTCAGTAACTTTTTGCCTAAGCTTGTCAGGATTAAAGCCCTTCAAACGGCGGAGGCAGTAGCCATCAGAATGAAGAAACCTGAGCTATGTGTACAAAAGAAATATCTCCAACTCCTACTTCTCCCTTGGCCAACCCACAAGGCCAATTAATGAACAATCATCTTAGCTATTGTATGACCTAATTTGACTATGTACTTACCACCTTTCGTAGTCAAATGTAATTGTCTCTCTTATCTTTATTCACAAATCTTTGTATTTTATTATTATTATTATTGGTTAAATATCATTATTAATCCCCCCTTTACATGATTCATTCACATCGCATTGATCACTCCTTATTACGTCTCACTAATTTTTCACACATTTAGTCTTCCACTTGATCGAATTGTAATTGCACTATCATATCTCTCTCACCCTATCTGACCCATATTTATATTCTGATCACAGATCTTAAATTTTCATTTTACGTATATACAGATTCAAGTTAACATTCTATATGAGTCATATCAATATTAACAATTTTATTCTATTTGATTTGACATTCCTAAATTTACATGCTTTAAACGATGTACTTTGCCTTTAACCTGGCCATTTTTTCGGATTATTAATTTGGATATATAATTGTAGAACCTGAAGAGAATTTATCGAAAAGAATATCCTTCGTTCAAATATTAGTCTTTTAATATACACTAAATCAAATAAACTAGTCGTGTTTCGGCATAACTAACCTTGTTCAGTGTTTGATGTATCGGTGGATGTGCTCCTTTTGTATTAACCTGTAAGAGAGTGAGAGTGAGTTGATTTAAAGATCATTGTTGTAAACAAAATCTCTACTTTATTGCAAAATTGGTCGACTGTGAAAGAATAATGAACATTGTTTTCAGAAACAGTGTTGACAAATGTAAAGCGTGAATGACACAATTGTTCGGTGCTTCTCTGTTCTCTGTGGCTCTTCGGTCTATGTTAGACTGTGTTTTTTATGGTGTGTAAGAAATCAATACGAAAATCAGACGTAAAATATCCAACACAAATAAGATATAGTGAAAGAACTTTAAGTGACATTTCATAAGCGGTATCGTGCATAATAATAAACATATATACACCATGTTCAGAAGACTGAAGATGTGCCTGGAGGTGAATAAAAAGGTGTAAAATAGACATACTAAAAAGTGAAGAACTCACCAGATCTAAAATAAGTTAAAAACTATCTGAATAAATACCTTTTATTGAATGGTTAGCAAAGCAATACATAGTTTATAATAAAGCAAGAAGAACTGTCATGATCTTCAACTGAGCAGAAGTGCTTACCGGAGCTGGAGCCGATATTTCGCACTATCATTATGATAGTAGTTTTCAAAACGGGAAAATACACTCAATGTTCTATAAAACTGATGATACTGGTTCACAGGTTATATTTGAGACATAAAAACAGTATATTAATACATGACCAGTGAAAGTAAACTTAAACATTGTGAATTGCTTGAATACCTTAGTCAATAACACTGTCAACCGTTGCGCTTCATAAGGAGCCACAAACGCGTATGTAGAACATCAGTAAGAAAAAGGCTTAAATTGGGCAAACTGAACTTCATATATCAAGAAACTTGGACAAAAGATGTAGCGATTTTTAGAAAACAGGACAAATATTTCAATGAGGTGACGGCTGCAACAGAAATAAATAAGAGTACCAGACTGATTTTTCATATGAGAATATGCCAAAACAAAACATATACGAATGATTGGCATGCAAGTAGAGCATAACAGCAGCAAAGAAAACGTAACGTGCAAGTGAAAGTACACGATGACGAAGCAAGAAAGGGATCATAAAGAAGAACGGATGGCAACGAATGGTGTAAGAAGATAATTAAGGTTTGAAAGAGGACAAAAATATAAAAAAAATACGTGCAACAGAAAAGGAACTGGAAGCAATATTTACATACAAACTGTCGCCTGCATCCGATCTCTCTCAACCATACCGATTATGTCATCAATCTTATTGTCGCCACTGATGTCATGATCAAGTGAGTGGAGGCGATTTTCACAAACACAGTAGTGTTACGATAATCACCACAGTTGTGATAGCATTCGTCAAATGAATATGTGTAATAAAAAGTGGGAATAAAATTGAACAATCACCTGAATTTGGGCTGTAAACGTGCGATCCTGAAAGACAAACAAACAGACAGACGGAGTGAGAGAGAGTGAGAGAGAGAGAGATGAGAACGAGCAAATGTGAGCGACATCAGGAGTGATTTGATGAGGCGATCGCAAGAAATTGTGTTTACCGGAAACTACATTGAACCTATTGACCATGTGAGTTCGCATGTGAAATCGAGCCATTTAAATGTTCGGAATAGAGGAGTTCCTCCATTCCACTAATCATTTATATATGACCACTTCATAATTAGTCAGATTCCACTGGAATCTCATGAGTGCCGTTCTCTAGTCCAAATGTGCACCCACACATTCAGCAAGAAATCCACATTATCCAAGTGGTACGATCGAGTCATCCAACACCCACAACTTGATTGACTGACGCATGTTGTGGGAAATACAATTTGATCGACAATAACTGCGGAACACCACAAAATCATCCATCCACATTATCGAGTTCACCACAATAAAGTAAACAGGAATGAGTTGATAGAGAAAATCAAAAACATTCTTACGTAACGAACAGGTTGGTATCTCTTTGAAACACAGTGTAAGAGAGAGTGAATGTCAGTAGGTGTTCGATGAATGCTGACGACTGATTGTGAAGCAGGTGAATGATCAGTGTATGTATGGATTATCGAGTGACATGAATAATTGTCTAATGGAATCTACTCACGTCTTCCTTCTGGTCTATATTGACGTCTTCTCGGGTAATCTGAAAGTGGAGTGGAGTAGAATACAACGAGTCAATCTCAAGACCACTAAAACAAACACTTCATTCACTGTCGATTGCATCCGATCTCTCTCAACCATACCGATTATGTCATCAATCTTATTGTCGCCACTGATGTCATGATCAAGTGAGTGGAGGCGATTTTCACAAACACAGTAGTGTTACGATAATCACCACAGTTGTGATAGCATTCGTCAAATGAATATATGTAATAAAAAGTGGGAATAAAATTGAACAATCACCTGAATTTGGGCTGTAAACGTGCGATCCTGAAAGACAAACAAACAGACAGACGGAGTGAGAGAGAGTGAGAGAGAGAGAGATGAGAACGAGCAAATGTGAGCGACATCAGGAGTGATTTGATGAGGCGATCGCAAGAAATTGTGTTTACCGGAAACTACATTGAACCTATTGACCATGTGAGTTCGCATGTGAAATCGAGCCATTTAAATGTTCGGAATAGAGGAGTTCCTCCATTCCACTAATCATTTATATATGACCACTTCATAATTAGTCAGATTCCACTGGAATCTCATGAGTGCCGTTCTCTAGTCCAAATGTGTACCCACACATTCAGCAAGAAATCCACATTATCCAAGTGGTACGATCGAGTCATCCAACACCCACAACTTGATTGACTGACGCATGTTGTGGGAAATACAATTTGATCGACAATAACTGCGGAACACCACAAAATCATCCATCCACATTATCGAGTTCACCACAATAAAGTAAACAGGAATGAGTTGATAGAGAAAATCAAAAACATTCTTACGTAACGAACAGGTTGGTATCTCTTTGAAACACAGTGTAAGAGAGAGTGAATGTCAGTAGGTGTTCGATGAATGCTGACGACTGATTGTGAAGCAGGTGAATGATCAGTGTATGTATGGATTATCGAGTGACATGAATAATTGTCTAATGAAATCTACTCACGTCTTCCTTCTGGTCTATATTGACGTCTTCTCGGGTAATCTGAAAGTGGAGTGGAGTAGAATACAACGAGTCAATCTCAAGACCACTAAAACAAACACTTCATTCACTGTCGGCTGCATCCGATCTCTCTCAACCATACCGATTATGTCATCAATCTTATTGTCGCCACTGATGTCATGATCAAGTGAGTGGAGGCGATTTTCACAAACACAGTAGTGTTACGATAATCACCACAGTTGTGATAGCATTCATCAAATGAATATGTGTAATAAAAAGTGGGAATAAAATTGAACAATCACCTGAATTTGGGCTGTAAACGTGCGATCCTGAAAGACAAACAAACAGACAGACGGAGTGAGAGAGAGTGAGAGAGAGAGAGATGAGAACGAGCAAATGTGAGCGACATCAGGAGTGATTTGATGAGGCGATCGCAAGAAATTGTGTTTACCGGAAACTACATTGAACCTATTGACCATGTGAGTTCGCATGTGAAATCGAGCCATTTAAATGTTCGGAATAGAGGAGTTCCTCCATTCCACTAATCATTTATATATGACCACTTCATAATTAGTCAGATTCCACTGGAATCTCATGAGTGCCGTTCTCTAGTCCAAATGTGTACCCACACATTCAGCAAGAAATCCACATTATCCAAGTGGTACGATCGAGTCATCCAACACCCACAACTTGATTGACTGACGCATGTTGTGGGAAATACAATTTGATCGACAATAACTGCGGAACACCACAAAATCATCCATCCACATTATCGAGTTCACCACAATAAAGTAAACAGGAATGAGTTGATAGAGAAAATCAAAAACATTCTTACGTAACGAACAGGTTGGTATCTCTTTGAAACACAGTGTAAGAGAGAGTGAATGTCAGTAGGTGTTCGATGAATGCTGACGACTGATTGTGAAGCAGGTGAATGATCAGTGTATGTATGGATTATCGAGTGACATGAATAATTGTCTAATGGAATCTACTCACGTCTTCCTTCTGGTCTATATTGACGTCTTCTCGGGTAATCTGAAAGTGGAGTGGAGTAGAATACAACGAGTCAATCTCAAGACCACTAAAACAAACACTTCATTCACTGTCGATTGCATCCGATCTCTCTCAACCATACCGATTATGTCATCAATCTTATTGTCGCCACTGATGTCATGATCAAGTGAGTGGAGGCGATTTTCACAAACACAGTAGTGTTACGATAATCACCACAGTTGTGATAGCATTCGTCAAATGAATATGTGTAATAAAAAGTGGGAATAAAATTGAACAATCACCTGAATTTGGGCTGTAAACGTGCGATCCTGAAAGACAAACAAACAGACAGACGGAGTGAGAGAGAGTGAGAGAGAGAGAGATGAGAACGAGCAAATGTGAGCGACATCAGGAGTGATTTGATGAGGCGATCGCAAGAAATTGTGTTTACCGGAAACTACATTGAACCTATTGACCATGTGAGTTCGCATGTGAAATCGAGCCATTTAAATGTTCGGAATAGAGGAGTTCCTCCATTCCACTAATCATTTATATATGACCACTTCATAATTAGTCAGATTCCACTGGAATCTCATGAGTGCCGTTCTCTAGTCCAAATGTGTACCCACACATTCAGCAAGAAATCCACATTATCCAAGTGGTACGATCGAGTCATCCAACACCCACAACTTGATTGACTGACGCATGTTGTGGGAAATACAATTTGATCGACAATAACTGCGGAACACCACAAAATCATCCATCCACATTATCGAGTTCACCACAATAAAGTAAACAGGAATGAGTTGATAGAGAAAATCAAAAACATTCTTACGTAACGAACAGGTTGGTATCTCTTTGAAACACAGTGTAAGAGAGAGTGAATGTCAGTAGGTGTTCGATGAATGCTGACGACTGATTGTGAAGCAGGTGAATGATCAGTGTATGTATGGATTATCGAGTGACATGAATAATTGTCTAATGAAATCTACTCACGTCTTCCTTCTGGTCTATATTGACGTCTTCTCGGGTAATCTGAAAGTGGAGTGGAGTAGAATACAACGAGTCAATCTCAAGACCACTAAAACAAACACTTCATTCACTGTCGATTGCATCCGATCTCTCTCAACCATACCGATTATGTCATCAATCTTATTGTCGCCACTGATGTCATGATCAAGTGAGTGGAGGCGATTTTCACAAACACAGTAGTGTTACGATAATCACCACAGTTGTGATAGCATTCGTCAAATGAATATGTGTAATAAAAAGTGGGAATAAAATTGAACAATCACCTGAATTTGGGCTGTAAACGTGCGATCCTGAAAGACAAACAAACAGACAGACGGAGTGAGAGAGAGTGAGAGAGAGAGAGATGAGAACGAGCAAATGTGAGCGACATCAGGAGTGATTTGATGAGGCGATCGCAAGAAATTGTGTTTACCGGAAACTACATTGAACCTATTGACCATGTGAGTTCGCATGTGAAATCGAGCCATTTAAATGTTCGGAATAGAGGAGTTCCTCCATTCCACTAATCATTTATATATGACCACTTCATAATTAGTCAGATTCCACTGGAATCTCATGAGTGCCGTTCTCTAGTCCAAATGTGTACCCACACATTCAGCAAGAAATCCACATTATCCAAGTGGTACGATCGAGTCATCCAACACCCACAACTTGATTGACTGACGCATGTTGTGGGAAATACAATTTGATCGACAATAACTGCGGAACACCACAAAATCATCCATCCACATTATCGAGTTCACCACAATAAAGTAAACAGGAATGAGTTGATAGAGAAAATCAAAAACATTCTTACGTAACGAACAGGTTGGTATCTCTTTGAAACACAGTGTAAGAGAGAGTGAATGTCAGTAGGTGTTCGATGAATGCTGACGACTGATTGTGAAGCAGGTGAATGATCAGTGTATGTATGGATTATCGAGTGACATGAATAATTGTCTAATGGAATCTACTCACGTCTTCCTTCTGGTCTATATTGACGTCTTCTCGGGTAATCTGAAAGTGGAGTGGAGTAGAATACAACGAGTCAATCTCAAGACCACTAAAACAAACACTTCATTCACTGTCGATTGCATCCGATCTCTCTCAACCATACCGATTATGTCATCAATCTTATTGTCGCCACTGATGTCATGATCAAGTGAGTGGAGGCGATTTTCACAAACACAGTAGTGTTACGATAATCACCACAGTTGTGATAGCATTCGTCAAATGAATATGTGTAATAAAAAGTGGGAATAAAATTGAACAATCACCTGAATTTGGGCTGTAAACGTGCGATCCTGAAAGACAAACAAACAGACAGACGGAGTGAGAGAGAGTGAGAGAGAGAGAGATGAGAACGAGCAAATGTGAGCGACATCAGGAGTGATTTGATGAGGCGATCGCAAGAAATTGTGTTTACCGGAAACTACATTGAACCTATTGACCATGTGAGTTCGCATGTGAAATCGAGCCATTTAAATGTTCGGAATAGAGGAGTTCCTCCATTCCACTAATCATTTATATATGACCACTTCATAATTAGTCAGATTCCACTGGAATCTCATGAGTGCCGTTCTCTAGTCCAAATGTGTACCCACACATTCAGCAAGAAATCCACATTATCCAAGTGGTACGATCGAGTCATCCAACACCCACAACTTGATTGACTGACGCATGTTGTGGGAAATACAATTTGATCGACAATAACTGCGGAACACCACAAAATCATCCATCCACATTATCGAGTTCACCACAATAAAGTAAACAGGAATGAGTTGATAGAGAAAATCAAAAACATTCTTACGTAACGAACAGGTTGGTATCTCTTTGAAACACAGTGTAAGAGAGAGTGAATGTCAGTAGGTGTTCGATGAATGCTGACGACTGATTGTGAAGCAGGTGAATGATCAGTGTATGTATGGATTATCGAGTGACATGAATAATTGTCTAATGAAATCTACTCACGTCTTCCTTCTGGTCTATATTGACGTCTTCTCGGGTAATCTGAAAGTGGAGTGGAGTAGAATACAACGAGTCAATCTCAAGACCACTAAAACAAACACTTCATTCACTGTCGATTGCATCCGATCTCTCTCAACCATACCGATTATGTCATCAATCTTATTGTCGCCACTGATGTCATGATCAAGTGAGTGGAGGCGATTTTCACAAACACAGTAGTGTTACGATAATCACCACAGTTGTGATAGCATTCGTCAAATGAATATGTGTAATAAAAAGTGGGAATAAAATTGAACAATCACCTGAATTTGGGCTGTAAACGTGCGATCCTGAAAGACAAACAAACAGACAGACGGAGTGAGAGAGAGTGAGAGAGAGAGAGATGAGAACGAGCAAATGTGAGCGACATCAGGAGTGATTTGATGAGGCGATCGCAAGAAATTGTGTTTACCGGAAACTACATTGAACCTATTGACCATGTGAGTTCGCATGTGAAATCGAGCCATTTAAATGTTCGGAATAGAGGAGTTCCTCCATTCCACTAATCATTTATATATGACCACTTCATAATTAGTCAGATTCCACTGGAATCTCATGAGTGCCGTTCTCTAGTCCAAATGTGTACCCACACATTCAGCAAGAAATCCACATTATCCAAGTGGTACGATCGAGTCATCCAACACCCACAACTTGATTGACTGACGCATGTTGTGGGAAATACAATTTGATCGACAATAACTGCGGAACACCACAAAATCATCCATCCACATTATCGAGTTCACCACAATAAAGTAAACAGGAATGAGTTGATAGAGAAAATCAAAAACATTCTTACGTAACGAACAGGTTGGTATCTCTTTGAAACACAGTGTAAGAGAGAGTGAATGTCAGTAGGTGTTCGATGAATGCTGACGACTGATTGTGAAGCAGGTGAATGATCAGTGTATGTATGGATTATCGAGTGACATGAATAATTGTCTAATGAAATCTACTCACGTCTTCCTTCTGGTCTATATTGACGTCTTCTCGGGTAATCTGAAAGTGGAGTGGAGTAGAATACAACGAGTCAATCTCAAGACCACTAAAACAAACACTTCATTCACTGTCGATTGCATCCGATCTCTCTCAACCATACCGATTATGTCATCATTATTATTGTTGTCTCTCATTTTTCTTAAACTTGTTTTTCTGTTTTCCGTGTTTGCCTCCTTTTTTCCTTAATTTTTCTACCTTCTCTCTTTTCATTTTTCCGTGTTCTGTCAATTATTTTGGTCGCTAATTTTTTTTCTTTTTCTTTCTAATGGTTTTCATTCATTTCAAAATTTTTTTCTTATAATTTCGTTCCTTTTTTATTATTGTTTTATCTTTGCATCCTACGTTCATCCTTTCGTTTCTGTTAAGTGAGTTACCATTCTTGTCTTGATAATACACGTGTTGTTTTATGTTTCCTTCTCTTCCCTAATTTTCAGTTTTTGCTCAATCACTCGTATTATTTGCATTCTTTTGCTTCAGACGGTTAGTCAATTAGTAGTGTTTTTTTCTTTATAGTTGTGTTAAATATTGTTTCCATGTATTTCAAGAGAATTCAGATGAGTAGAAATAAAATCGTTGGTAAAAATCATAACATATTTTTTTTCGCAAATTCGTTTCGTAATCAATCATGCTAGTACTCATATAACTTACCTTTATAAACTGGACTGTAGAAGCCAATTATTGGTACAAATGAGACTGTAAATAAAATAAGTGGAATAAAATCAGTTTGTCACTGTTTCTGCAATACAGCTTGTAGTGAATTGAAGCAGAATGCCACATAAGAAATGCCACTTTCTCATCATTCATCTTATTTTGTGAGCGGTTACTAACAGAACAAACTATATCATTTACGTGTGAAAGCCTTCATTGTTTAACAATGACTCAACATCTATAGTTTTCATATCAGAAGTATATTGTGGAGACCGCGATTGGAATCTATACAGTGGAAGATAATTATTTTGCTTCAGCATAAGAATCATCACTAGTCTCAGTGATCGACTTAACCACGAATCAAACACATGATGGATGTAATTCAACAGTTTCAAGCTTGAGACAGGTATGACAGAATGTGATAGGCTATGGATGAGAGAGATGTAGAAAATGCAAAACAAGTACTAAGCAGACACACTTCCTAAACTGATCTCGGTCTTCACCTCATGTAGAAATAAATTCCGTTTATTTTATGAAGTAAGTTGAGTAATCTCCTCGAGCCTAAAGCACTGACTAATATGAACATCTTGATCAAGTTTGGCAACAATGCACTGATAAAAACAGCATTCTTAACGTATGTATAGTTATGATCACACTAGTCAAATAAGTACATATATTTCGTGATAAACCAAAAAGCATGTAAAAATTTACCAGGATATGGAATGAAACCATATGGTCCTGAAAGAGAACGGGTATGAAAGAAAGACAGAAGTTATGATGACCGGAAGATATAAATTAGATATGTGATGCATCGATAATCGTTTGTTCACTGCTAGTTAGCAGAGATTATATGAACTTCATATAATGGCAGTAAGGAATTAAGTGGATTTACCATCAAATGCATTGGGTAATACATGGTCACAATTTTCGTGAGACTTGAATGAAGTAATACATCCAAAAAGCCCCAAATTATAATAGTTGTGCAGAATAATAACAGGCTTGGCATAAACTGAAAAAGAGCTTAATCAACTAAACAAGAAAAAATGTAAAAACCACAAAAAAAGACTTATTCGAAATGAAAACAACAACATACCGATTGACGGATAGTAAACTACAAAACGAGATTGAGAAAATACTTGAAAAAGACTGTGAAAAATAATAAAAACTCTGATGGTTGGAAGACAAAGGAGCAAATAAATGTGAAGAAAACATAAAAGAAAAAGCAACACTTATAAAAAACAAGCATAAGAAAGAAAAAGAAAATTGGTAACGGAAAACACTTGAGAAATAGAGAGCGTTAAGAAATACGATATAGCGGACAAACTATGAAACATTAAAACAAAATATTCTGTGAAAAGACACTCAAAGCAGAAATAATGTAAAGTAAGAGAAAAACAAAACCATACGCAGAGAAATGTTAGTAATTTGATGCTAAACAAAATGGAGACTGCTGTACTTGTTTAGACACATGTTTTTCACTCGGGTTCTCGTCACTGGCTTTCATGGATTACACACAAGTGATTTCAAACACTTGAGTTGGCTGACCAAGTCAACTGTAGTGTGTTTGTGTATTAAGATACACGAGAATATCGTGTGGAACACTGCGACAAATTACTTACCTCAAAATACAACCAAAATTTAGTGCAAACTTAAACACAGAAATTCGATGGTGGAAAACACCAGTCAAATAATTGGAGAAACTCGATGCACAGCATATGATGGCAGTAATCGTGATAAACCTGATCAAAATATCCAAACATGATTAGGGAAAATAGTTGGTATGGAGACGATATGTTGTTTCTAAAGGACGAAAGTGTATTCCTTGACACAACTCACAATTTGACAGTACTGAATCAAGGGAGGTGCTATTATGATGTCGGTTTGTGCATAGATTAACAATGAACGACAATTAGAAGCAATAAATTGAACTCACATCTTCTAGTTGGTCTAGGCTTACGAGTTGTCGGATACCCTGAAAATCATGCGAAATAAACTTTGTAGTGAGTCGACACTCAAAGCAGAATTCAGCCTAAGAATTTGTAACTGATAACTAGCTTCTCGAGTATCGGTTGGACGTATGGATCAACTTATCGTTTAATCGTTGTCGGACGTCACCTACAATTAGAAAGTGAAACTACTTAATCTGATAACTTATTGATGCTGTATAATATCCTTCATTTGCCTAGGTCAAAGAGCAGTTTATAGTTTTGTAGCAGGCCCTCAAAAACGTTGACATTGACTCATTTTCGAAAATGAGAATCCAGTGGATGGATTTGTCAAGTTAAATGTACCTACTGTTTATAAGGTGTCAGATTTGTTGATTTCCGACAGTAAACTGGAGACCTAATCTTGTTGACAATGGATAATATTCACGGAAAGGACGTGAACGTTTGCACTATTGTTGATGAGATAGTCAACCTTCATTATCATGTCAGTAATCCGTAACAGACTTCTATTTTCACCAGTTACCAGTAAAATTACCATTCACTTGTCATGTAAAATCTGTTTATGTTTCGTTTCACTAGCTTTCTCTTTTGCAAGCTACTATTTATGAAACCTTTTGAATAGCGAAGAACCGGCTGAAAATCGGTTGCGGTTGTCTTACTTTGTACTCTCTGAAGTAAATTTCGTTGTCTCGACGTTTGTAATAGCAACGCGCTCTTGTAGTATTTCATGTACAACACTCGGTAATGACTTTCATACTTTTCTGGTGATGTAGTTTCGAGTAAAAGTGCCTGTAACACCTATTGACTGAAACGTACCTGACTCACTCTTGAGGGTGTAAGACCCTATTTTCATGTTAGGGTGAGCGTCAGAGAATATAAAATTCATGATCGACGCTTAAGCAATAGCTAAATGACCTTGAGAACATCCATCAACTTACTAAGGTTATGTGAGTATTAGAAACTGGTGTGAGCGACTAAGATTCCGACTCACAGTTGGACGTTATAGTTGAGATTCCTGTTTTCATTACAAATCAATATCAGCTTTCATGTCAAAATGCTATTTAGCCGTATGAACCAATAACTTTTGCGCTGAAATTCAAGATCTGCCCTCTTAAATCTTGCGGGTTCGTCCATAAATTATGTTATCGCCACATCCTTTCACTGGAGGAAAGTTCGAGAACTGCATTGGCCATTGATTTTGTCATAAAGTGTAGATTTATGCACCTGTCTCTTAGTCATTTTATTTAAGAACTATTAGTCCCATCTTGATGATAGCCTCAAGATAGAGTTCAGATCTTGAGTGCTTAGTCCGCCAAACCACCGCTCTACAACTGATGCATCCTATCCAGGCAAAAGTGTTCCAACTCTTTATGACAGAATTTATAATGTCTTTTTACGAGTATTCTTCAGTACTGATTGGGAAACGACGATACTACTCAACCCAATCAGCTTCGTTTAATTTGTCTATTCTGGTAAGCGCTTCTTAGCAAGGTTGTTTTCCACGGGATGCGGTTGCTAACTCCATGCCGAAACCTCCCCTTTACCTAGGGCTGGTACCGGTTGTAGCCATAGAAGAGCTACAGCGCACACATTTGGAAAATCACCGATGTGCATCATGAGGCAAGCCCTAACGTGGAATCGAGATGGGAAAGGCATGAATTGGAGGCCATAGAACACCCTGCATCTGGGATCGAAAGCAGACATGAAAACAGTTAATAGAAACTGGTAAGAACTGGAAACGACTGTCCAGGACAGAGTTAGATGGTGAATGCTGGTGAGAGATTTATGCTCCTCCATGAGGGGTAACAGGCGTAAGTAAGTGATCAGCTTAGCACTTATTGTGTGTTAAGTTTGTCTTTGTTTGCATTCTTGATCTGCTTTAACTCGAAATACTTCGGTTATCAGGACTGAGTAGCTAAGTGGATTACGCAATGGGGTTTAAAGAGAGCAGTACTTGGTTCGGGTCTAAGAGTGAGCATGAACTCTGAGATGCAGATACATCCAGCTGAAGAGTCATGAGGAGGGCGAAACGCACATACTGGATTTCACTGTTAGCCACTACCCATCTTTGTTAATTTCCGTCATGACTTTAGTTTTTTTTCATTAAATCTGCCCTGTGATATTCTTTTTTGATTCATTCTTACACTATTGATTAGTATATGCATTTAGGCCAATTTTCTTTAACCCTTTTAATCGGTTTACAACGGTCAGCTTTACCTATAAATGTGGGTGGCCAAAATGTTTTTCACTGTGGAGTAGGGAATGTAATGCAATGAATGCAAAAGGTGGCTCTACAAGGTGTATGTCCGTTGAAGTCCCATAGTATACAAATGATGAACGGAACCCAACTCCCACTAGCTTCGCACGTTCTGTTGTCTGAGTAAGACATTATTGATCCGGGAGGAGATGAGCCTTCTTACTTTGGCTTGTATGAAAGCTGATGGCGGCTGTCCTAGTAAGATGACTACAGACAGCGAAGAATGTGTCAGTATGGCTCGTGTTGTGACGAACGAACCAAATACTCGACTATAAATCATGGAGAAGAAAAATGACCCCAGAAATGAACTAAGAGTGGAATACCTCTGAATATTAGTAGTCTTGATTCTAAAGTAGTACTTAAATGCATGGGTAAAATTGTCACCGACTCGAGTAGTCTAGATGTGACAAAGAAAAAAAAGAAAAAAGCCACAAACAGAACCCATTTGGTTGGGAAGCCTTTAACAGACTCACTGTGCGTCAAAACAAATCACCAAAGCCACAAAATATTACAGAACTTAACCTTAGTGTGGCTCGTACAATCTCAACCCGATCGAAGTCAAATGACCATGGTCTAGGAATTAGACACGTGCACGATTCGGAAAAGGTGGGAGGCCTAGTCTCACTTGACGGGCGACTTCATAAATATGCGTAGTATTAGTGGTCTGAAGCAAGTACGAATGCGTTTCTCCTGCCTAATGGCACTCATTCAACGCTCTTCTGAATTTTGTCCAACTCACAGACCTTCTAGTCCGTATGACACGACAAAACTTGTTAGTCAGGTCGACTAACATGAAGCACGACAAATAGTACTGCATTACTAGAAAACAAAATAAAAATTGATTACCTGGAAGCGATTTCATTAAATGTAGTGCAGAAAGTAATAATCACGTCAATGGAAGACGATAACTTCCAAATTAACTGATTGTCATCTCTTTAAATTTGAATAGAACGACGGCTTATACAGATTGTCAGAACACGTATTGAAATCACGTCGGGCTTGTCAGTGCAGATCACCAACGCAGATGATCTACGTCGGAAGATTGACGGTCTATAAGAGTCATACGCGTTTGGTGCGACCAACAGTTAGCTTTGAAGTCACATTTAGCGGTCAACAACTAACATGGATTACCTCTTCGTCGTACCAAGGTACTATAGCTACTTTGAAGACCATATAATACTATGGACGTTATCACAGAAATGTGTTGGTACAAGTAACTACAAGGGATAAGTTTTGGACACCACTGAATGGGCCAGTCCATGGCGTGCAATTAACTGATGCACGTTGGTTGTCCTTGACCATGACGGGAACTAATGAACTGTTCAACACTCACTGACCCAACCTCCTAATGATTTGTGTAAGCTGAGTGATATTTCACTGGTTCTATACGCTAAAGAATCATATGTAGTTGTTTTCAGTCGGATTATTTACTTACCCTACTGTAATATACTCTCCAACAAAATTATTCAGATATACATAAAGAAAGACATTTTCAATGGTGTTAGGAACGATTTTGATGGTTTTCAAACATCAGCAGACTAAATAAATACACAAACAGCTCAGAAACATAGTAGGGTATACTGCGCGCTATTTGAAAAGGACAGTGGTGTTTTTCCTCGTTGAGTAAATTCTATTGTTTTGATCGTTATTAACGTATCAAGACTACTGTTTTTATACTTTGATTGAATTTCTTTCAGTTAAAGTATTCTATTAGAGTATCATCTTGTGCAAGAGCATCACTCATGCGACCGAGGATATTGCCTATCTAAATGTTCTCTCACTGCAATAGTGACCGTGCTGTTTCATCATTTATGTTTAGAGGTTGTGCTGTAAGCGTGGTCTATATTTGAAAGTACGGTTAGTTTATTTGCTTCCACCATAGATAAGTGAACGGGTCAAGTAACTCAAACGGGAAAAAGCAGTGAAGTACGTTTATCTCTTCAGGCTCTGGACAGTACAAATTCATTTATTGTAAAACTAGGAACACTTGCAAAGCGTTGGCAAATAAGGTTATACATTCATATGAAAAACTCTTGGTTAGAGGTTGTGAAAATAGTCTGGAAAGGCTATTGTACGTGAACAGACAAACTCGGAAAGGTAATGGAGATTAGCACTTTTGACACAAGGAAATTTGTTGATGTTGGTAAGAAATGATGTTACAAAAGCTGAAGCTTTATCAGAATACTTTAGTAATGTGTTTTCTACCGACTATGGTAAAAGACCAACTATAAGTCGTGGTAGAGGTAACTTGTCGACGGATGTTGTGGCTACTGACCAAAAACTCCTAAGACTACTTCAGCACTTGGAATCAGATAAATCTTGTGGTTTTGACGGTATTCATTCTAAAATTATGAAAATCCTGGCGAATGTAGTTGCCAACCCCCTGTCCTTGCGGCGAGACTAAAGAACATGGACGAGCCAATCAGAAGCTTTCGCGGGTTTTCAAGGTCACGGCGCTAAGTTCGGTACCTGACGCTTACGTGCGTTCGGTTTACAACAGATTTTAGAGAAAACATGATAATTAAGCGTCTACAAAATAAGTTATTATAAGATTTCGGCGCAAAATTCAATTATACATTTCGATAGAGTTGTGGCATTTTAGCTGATGTCAGTTCGTGATGAAAACCCTCAGTAAAATTCCTAACCTTAACCATGAACTATAAATCATAATTTGAATTCTTCACACGGGTTTATAACCCTCATTTGGTCTTAGTTATTACGTTGACACTCTCAGATTCACTCTAGCGTCGCTCAAATGTCGTCCATAATTCATAGTCTCATCTTTAACCCTAAACCGTAACCCTAAACCTTAACGCTAATCTTAAACCCTAAACCATACCAACATACCGACAACACTGAAACTATGTGATCGAGGCTGAAAGAATTTTCGGGGCTTTATCATGGTTCCAGAGGTCGACTACTATGGAGCCACAGGGATGAGTTCCTGTATCAGATGCACTATGATTTTAGAACTTCTGAACCTATATCTGACCTTGATAGGTTTTTGATTCATGTAAAAGAACAGTATCCCTTTTAATTTTTGAGTTTTATATAATGTATTTTTACTGTATGCTAACTGTCTTCTGATTGACTAATATTTCTCAAGGTCATGTAAGATTCGTTCAAAGGTCGTCCATGTTCTTTAGTCTCGCCGTCCTTGCTGTCTGATATGTCTTTGCGGTAGTGTCGGCTGTCAAGAGACTGGAAAGACGCAATAGTCTGATTCATAAAGCGGGCAGCGGAGGCCTATCATGCCTAACAATTTTGCTATTTGCAAGAGAAGATTGGGTTGCAGCTAAAGATTGGAATAATCCTGTATATGTGATTTTCATAGATCCAAGTAGAGGCTTTGACAAAGTCTCTCGTTTGGGTCTCGAATTAAAACTGGAGAGTTTTGGAATCCGTTGTGAAATCATAGACTGGATAAGTGACTTCTAATGATAGAAGACAACAGGTACAGTCAGTCAGTCAGTCAGCTACAACGTAGGACCAGGCACATTTATGCATCGGTCCAAGTTGCCATACCTCGTTAGCACAACAATATGAACACCGGGTTCATAGAAGTAATTAATTTAGTGGTGGTAGTAGTATATAAATTATAGGTTGTATATAAGGATATAGTACAGGAAGGAGGAGAGATATGAAGCAATTTTAGTCTCAAGGTTTAAAGGAAGATAAAGAGTGTATACACCTACGCCATTGTGATCGATTTTGAGCCATGTCACCTAGAGTCTCCAACCATTGGTTACGATAATCACGCGGACCCCAACCAGGTAGTCTGCATCTGCCAACATGGCTCAGACTAGAAGTTAGTGACTTCAAACACTGAGGCCATGTTTTGGTTTGGCCGCCCCTAACTCTCTTCCAACAATCCCCAGTACTAGTCATCATAGCGCGTCGTGGTAATCGGTGTTCAGGCATACGTAACACATGGCCCAACCATCTCAGTCGATGAAGATTCATGACCCCATCAACTGATTTACCATCGTTCCCTAATACCCTGCGTCTAACCTCACTATTACTTACCCGGTGATCCCAGCAGATGCGTGCAATATTTCTAAGGCATCTGTGGTCAAATACTAGTAACTTACGAGTATCTTCTACTCTTAATGGCCATGTTTCACAACCGTAAAGTAGAACAGAGCGAACTGCTGCGCAGTATACTCGTCCTTTAATTGATAGACGGATATCTCGTCTTCGCCATAGGTGACGTAAGTTGGCAAAAGCCAAACGAGCTTTTCGAATCCGTGCTGAGATTTCGTCAGATACCAACCCATTAGGGCTGATCAGACTTCCAAGATAAGTGAAGTTGTCAACGCGTTCGACTACTTCACTCCCTATCCTTAGTTCAGGTGTTGATGCAGGCCAGTCCTGGAGTAACAATTTACATTTGGATGGGGAGAATCGCATCCCAAACATCCTGGCATTATTACTGAGTTCCAACAGAAGACTCTGCATTTTGCCAGCGTCTTCACCAAACAGGACTATGTCATCTGCGTATTCTAAGTCGCTTAGTGGTCCCTCTGGTAGGAGATCAATTCCTGTAAATTCAGTCGAAGAGAGTGTTATTTCCAGCAACAGGTCTATTATGAAGTTAAACAAAAATGGGGATAGTGGACAGCCTTGACGGACACCACTTGAGGTTGTAAAATCATATGACAGTTCGCCGTAAGCTCTCACTCGACTGGTAGTGTTCGAGTAAAGAGCCTTCACAAGGTTTATGTACTTCTCAGGTACACCTTTCAATGACAGACACTGCCACAGAACCTCTCGGTCTACAGAGTCAAATGCTGCTTTCAAGTCAAGAAAAACTATCATTGTCGGACGTCGATAAGCATGTCTGTGCTCTAAAACTTGACGAATGGTGAATATGTGGTCGATACAGCCACGACCAGGTCTGAAGCCAGCCTGATTTTCTCGTGTTTGCAGTTCACGAGTCTTAGGCGCCCGATAATTATTGAGGCTAGTATTTTAGATGCTATGTTGGTCAGACTAATCCCTCTATGGTTATCGCAGGATGATTTTGACCCCTTTTTATATATTGGGACAATCAGTGATTGTGACCAGTCGGATGGGATTACATCCGCCTCCCAGATTTTAGCCAGAATATTAGTCAACCTAATCGCTAAAATCGGACCACCATATTTAAAGACTTCTGGAGCCAATCCATCTGGACCAGCTGCTCTTCCTCGTTTCAGATTACCTATAGCCTTTTGAACTTCAAGTAGGGTCGGGGGGCCTACTTCAATGTTCCATTCAGGTTTTCTAGGAATAGTGGGTAGTTGTGCAGTAGCTGAAGGCCAGCTAAACTGCTCCTTAAAGTGTTCCGCCCATCGTTCTAAACGTTTGGGTTGAGAGCAGATAAGGGTTCCGTCTTTTTCGGAGATTGTCTCACTTGCACTTGACTTCTTAATTCCGGTTTCTTTTATTAGTCTGAATAGTTGCCTGGTGTTGCCTACAGCCGCTGCCCTTTCCATCGCTTTTGCTTTCGTTGCCCACCACTGCTCACGATCGTTCCTTAGACTTTTAGTTAACCTAGATCTAATTTCTTTACGCTCTTTGTCATGTTCAGAGCCTGATGGGATGAGTTTACGCGAATCCATCAGTGAAATAGACTTAGAAGAAATCCATTGGTTTTTTGGAGCCCTATGGTTTAAATGACTAATAGATGTAACTGCTGTTTCCACAGATGTTCGTATGTCTGTCCAAGCAGAATCTGTGTCAGTCTTGTTTACAGAACTGCCTAGATGTGAACTCAGTTGTTTCTGGAATTCGCATTTGGCTTTCTCGTCCTCCAGTTCAATCCTAATGGGTCTTCTTAGTGTACTTTTCCTGCGTCCATTGAGGCGCAGACAAATGCGCGCTCGTATTAAAGCGTGATCAGAGTCTAAACAAGTATTCCAATACGAGCGACAATCTTCTGTTGAGCCTCTCCAACGATGACTGATGACAATATGGTCTATTTGAGTCCATCGTTGGTTTGGTGCAGGTGGTCGCCATGTTAGACGATGTCTCTCCTTATGTTTAAAATTAGTGCTTGCTAAAAATAAACAACAGGTACGGGTAGATGGGGTTCTGTCAACGTGGGGATTTGTGAAAAGTGGAGTTAGCCATGTTACAATCCTAGATCTTTCTGTTTTCACTTTGTGTAAATAACTTACCTACTAACAAATTCATCTGTTCTACTCTTTGCAGAAGGCATAAAAATTTGTAGACGCATACACTGTATTTGAGATAGTATAATATTACAGGACGCCTAAAATCCACTGGTTGCATTGATGGGTAAGTGATCATTAGAAGTTAACCTTAACTGGAGTGTGATGCAAATAAGTAACTAGGATGATTCGTATTACTACACAATATATGGAGTTGTGTCACCTAAAGTAGTGGGCTATAAAGGTCTAGAAGTCATAATAAGCAGCGACCTCAAAACTGTAGTGAATTACTGGGATTCTTTACGAGAACACGTAATATCAGCATCTTCTGTTAGTACATTCAAAGCGAGATAAGACATCCACAAAGTTGCTCTCGAGTCAGAAACTCACACCGCTTATTCAAAGTTTAGTAAATAATACTCATGCGAGTTTCAGGGACACCGGAGATCCTTACTCATCTTCTAGTGTGTTGAAATTGCTAAAAGCTATGTCTAGTTTCCTTCCTACTTTCTTAGTATGTTCCCATTATCTTTTATCTATATAGTGTTGAATCACCAAGTTACTTTTCTTGTTATACATATCTAAAAATGGAGTACATTGACAAACTCCCGGATGAGCTTTGCTGCAAGCCTAAACCTCTCATCGTATTTTCCGGTTTGGATACGGAAAAAAACCAAGTCCATCGGTCTATTTGGAGAGCCTTCAATACTAGTAAAAGCCATGACCGAGATTCATTTAAATTTCGCTGCAAATCAGTCGACCACCAGTTTCCAAAGCCAAAGTACAAGGTTTGTTGTTAGTTTTAATTAGTGTTTCTTAGGGTCTTGTTGTGCAATTGGTTATATGATTGTTTGGAAGGGTTTGGGTTATCCTTATGTTTATATTCGTCCCAAATGGGACGAAACGCGCTTGTCTTATATAAGTTGGTTATATGCTTTTATATTTTATTGTTGGAATAGCCATCACCATGGAGTAATGGATATTGGTTGTAATCGCTTTTATTTTCATCACTTCAGTATTTTGTTCGGAATAGTAAAATAGTGCAATATGAAGCCAAATACATTTTGTATCAAGTTTCACATAATCCCTTATAAATGATTCCATATATTCACCCTTGGCGAAATGAGTTCCCATGGGCATATGCGTTGGAATTACTCGGTCAAAACAAGTAGATATAGTTCCCATAACTTCTTCATAAGGATAGCTTGATAAGATTCTTGTAGTTATAGTTCATAGTTCTTAATATATGAAGCTCCAGTAGTCAATAGTACCCAATTTTTCATTGCGCAATAGACCTTTCATTAGGTCCTGGTTTTCGTGTGACTTTCTCTCGTCAGTGAACAAAATATCCAAATAACGAAGTTTTTTATCCAATTATTTCTGTATTTAATTTTAGACATTGAGATTCAAAGAACTAGTAAAAGTCAATTAAATAAAATCTCAGTAAACATAGGGCGGTAATTAAAATAAAAGGTAGGGAAACAATAGCCTAGACTAGAAAACTAAGTTGTCATATCTCCCTAGATCTTGAAACGGATTAAATATTATCAAGAGAGATTCAAGTTTAGAACGAACACTTTTCGTATTTAAAGGATGATTAAGTTTTCTGATAACCAATGCTTATACAAGCTTAACAATTCACCCCTGACAGTCTCTATACCAGCCTTAAAAGCTGCTACAACGTCGGTCGCATGACGTGTTTCAATTATGTTTTGGGATCGAGGAATATAGTAGTTTATTGGAGCATCTAAGGCTTATTGATCATTATGCTATTTTGGAGCATGTTTCATCACATTTTTGGTTGCGAAATTTGATTACTCCTCCCCATTTATGTGTGTTGTCACACGTTAGTGAATCGGTAAATACAATGGGATATGATAGTCATTTATACGGCTTTCAGCCTTCTGACAAACTGATCTTATGGTTGCTCAATCTCTGACTTGAAGTCTGTCAAATCACAATTTTCAGATTAACTCAGACTTCTTATTACAATATCAGTATTTATTAGTAGGGCTAATAGTTTTGAATGATATATCATCTTTTAATTCTTTTAGAAATTATATATTAGCTTATTTCTCGTTAAAATGATCGAGCAGTCATCGGCTGTTTGTGTGTGTTGTTGGTAAATAATCTTCCAAAAAGACCATATTTTTGAGCTTTCGTTAGCTGATGTAAACAATCATTGATGTTCATTTATCTGAAATTTGAAAAGTTCATTTTAGCTGTGATTTCAAGATTTATGAATATGTTTCACCTTCCCTAAAATTTGCAAGAGTTTTCCTTTAATATCTATTAATATTCCAGCAACTGGCTTCATATGAATGGCTTATGCCAAAAGGCATACTCAAAACTGGTTGGATGAAAAAGCATCTTGAAGAAATACCTGCATTCGTTGCTTTATTTTACGATCTAGATTGGGACGAACCACAGTGGGGAGAAAAGTCAACTGAATGCGCTCAAATGGTGGCAACTGTTCGGTTGGTATTTTGTTTTCTCTTATTTATTCATGGAAACTGAATTTAGATCAAAACTTGCTGGTCGCGAGAGTAAATTAGTGGTCATTCTTATACAGAAACGTGCCCCCTTACCTTTGGGTGAAGATCTTAATGCCATGGACCGAGCTCAATCTCTTTGTAATAAGTGTGATCTTCCAGGAAAGAATTTGTTTGTTTTGTCGCATACAAACTTACTTTATGGATGCATTACAAGGTATGGTTTCTAGTTGATTTACAGCGATGCATGCACTCTTGTGTATTTAAATGAATGTAGGTAGATTGTAAAATAGAAATATGGAACTACAAAACATAATTTTCAGTCGAACGAGCAACATTTATTTTCCGTCGCTGCTTAACATTATCTATCTAAATTCATGAGTAGATGCAAGAAACATTCAGCATTCAAAATTTAAGTACTCGGTGCCAGGTTCCCTTAAGTCAGTCAGCTTTCAAACAGTAATGTAATCTGCTGAACTCATTATGCCAATGCGTTTTACTCAATATTTCTGTTCGAGCAAACAAAGATTTATTATAGAAAAGTTGCAGTTCGCTTTCAAATACGCTTCTGTTATCTATTAATAATCCTGCGGAATGTAGTGTAGTTTAGCTGAATTATCAATAATCAATCTCTGCGTATGGCCATAAAGATTTTTCATATCGTTTGCTTGTGACGTTAATAGACAGGTCAGGATACAAGCTGGTGTCGATCATGGTGTAATTTTATAGTTTCTTACATAAGAAATTGGAATTTTCTTGGAACGAAGTTCATCTTGCTTGTGTTTATACTTGAATTTTTTCTTGTTAATGTCCCTGTTCTTTTTGTTATAATGTGATTTTCTCTGTTCTATTTCCTCACAACGTCTCTTTTTTAGTGATGCTTATCCCTATGTCATTTTGTGCAAATTTTTGTTTTATATATATAGAAAATGAAATGGTTGATATCGAGCACACATTCGTCTCTGCAGTTTAGTTCTAGCAGTTGCTTCCCATTATTGACTTGGAGTTTTTTAAATTCAGCAAATGAGGTCATGTTCATGAGTCATACTAAGCACGAGGAACTCGCATATTCTCTCCCATTTCTGTGAAACACACTCACTTAATAAGTGAGCTTCATATCACCCACATTTGGATTTATGAGAGTATATGGAAAGATAGTCGAGACCTATTCATTGTTGACCACATTTGGGTATTCACAGTCTATCGGTAATCATAGTATTAAACATTCAAAGCTACGACTTTGTACCTGTTTTAAGTTCAGAGATTCAAAAAGCAAACCAAGTTGGTTATTTTAGATCTAATACATAAAATCCCTTCAATAATATATATATATAATATATGATATATATCTAATATATGATATATATATAACACATTATATATATATATATATAATATTATACTAGATTATATATTTCATATTGACTAATAAGTTTATTGTTTTACATAGATTAGAAGATGAATTTCGTGATATGGCAGCTAATTATTATCATAATCAAGCTAAAAAAGTGAAAGCTCACAAGGATTCACTCAACAAAACTAGTCACCAGGTATTTTTTTATAAATCAATTAATCATTATTACTGCTGTCGAGATATGGATACCAACCACTTGTCACTTTTCGTCTTTGTATGTTGTGTAATTATTTTATCAATACATTTATTAAGGACTTGATTGGGTAGTAACTGTATTTATTTATTACTTTTTATCGTGAATTTCACGTTTATTGTTGTGAACGAAATAGACAGATACAACTGATTGCTACTGATTAGAAGCAAATGAACAGATGCAATGAAATAGTACTTTTTCCTCGCTAAACAAGAAGATCGTTTTATTTCTGCCTACAATCTGTTTAATGAGTTATATCTAATTTCTGGTAATTAGAAATATTCTTAGTCTCTTACATTCATGTTTTTAAGTGCTTCATTATCACAACAGTTTTGTTTGTTGCGTTAATGGCATCTTCATCCTCCATCAAATTGTTGAATATGGTTACAGGTGTTGTTAGCTAACAATCGTTGAGTTTTTTGACAGCCTAGTAGTTGTCTTGCATTCAGTAGACTATGTTCTTGAATTGTCTGCTTACTTGAACTATGTTTGTTAATTTTGCTAACATATTAAAAGTTGGTTGTATTCCTAAGTTATTTTAGTAAAGGCTTCCAAAAATGACAGTAAACTTCCCAAGTAAACTTCTCACTAACGGTTGATTCCAGAGCACATTCCTTCCCAATGAATAAAAGAGGACCATGATATTAAGAAATGCAATAATTGTTCCAGGAAGCAAGTCTTTTAAGTGATAAATATGTACAAAGTCATAACATTACTTAATCTTCTTATTGACCAGCTTGTTTAGTAACTTTTTAATTTAATCGCTTACAGTTATTGTTTGTTCGTCACGAGTTCAAAATTGCTTTCTATGCTGAATTAAAACAAGACCCAGGATTAGCGCTAAAGTAAGTTCATCCATTATTTATTTATTTATTTAAACACATAAATATTGGTACAATGAAGCACCAGATACATATGCGCCTCACAAATCTCATTCGATTTGTGTGAGGGCTGTGATACTGCCCAGGTGCCCAAACTGAAGCAGGTGGTTTTCTTAGGGGGCCACACCCGGAGCCTTTGACCGAAAGATCTAATCCACAAGGCAGTGGGGCATCGTGAGGAGATGCAGTCCCATGGTAGCCGTTGACCAATGACAGGTTCGTCCGCCATTCGTTCCATCAGGATACTGGAGCCCATGTGCACCATTGGTTTGGAATCAGGGTTTTCCAACTCCCCTAGGTGGACCCTCCGTGTCCACCAACCCGGTTAAAGCGCCGGACATTCGCTTTTCGTCCTCTCACTTTCGTAAACAACAGTAATGCCACGAGAAGGCAGTGAGTAGGACTTCCCTGACAGAGACTATATATTCGCTGGCCATGTGAGGGCATTTCGAGAGGGAGAGGTGACTCTCCCCACTCTCGGCTGTACCAGGGCATTTGGGGGCAAGTTCATCCAGAAATGTATTCACTTATTTCTAATAACAACAATAGTATTTGAAATTATGTATCCTGAATTTTAAAAAGTGTTGTCCGATTTCCTTTTCAAGCTCGTGAATTGTGTGTAACATGGGTTAGATATACTTAGAGTTTAGTAGTAGTAGTAGCAGTAGTAGTCAAAATAATCCAAGCCTGAGGCTTTCAGTTGTTGATACTAACGCTTAAAGTGTGTCTGCAGTGACATAGTGGCTAAAGCACTTAACTTTCAATTGTTTGTTCTCAGGATCATACCATGCTCCCAATACGATTTTACCAACCAAATAGTTTCGCCAACTCACACAGCTAAATAAGGTATAGTTCAAAGACTAGTACATAAAATTGTTATCGATTATGAAGTTAACTTAAACAAATGTAGTTGTAATGAAACTTTTAGTCTTGCAATGTGAACTCACATTATTCAATACTTCTCAGATATGCTGTGGCAGAGCTACTCAGTCAATAACTTATTTCGTTACTCTGGATTTGATGGACATGTTGACAAACACGTATTTATCATGCATCCTGTATATACCTTACTCTAAAAATTCCAAAGTTGTCCCTATACTCTATTTATTTAAACACATATATATCTGGTACAAGGAAGTATAAGTATATGTACGCCGCACAAATCTCATTCGATTTGTGTGAGGGCTACGATACTGTCCGGGTGCCCAAACCGATGCAGGTGGTCTTCTTAATGGGCCACACCCGGAGCCTTTGACCTGAAGATCTGATCCACAAGGCAGTGGAGCATCGTAAGGAGGTGCAGTCTCATGGTTGCCGGTGACCAACGATTGATTCATACGCCATTTGTTCCCTCAGGATACTGGAGCCTATGTGCACCATTGGTTTAGAACCAGGGTTTTCCAACTCCACTAGGTGGACTTACCGTGTCCACCAAGCCGGTTAAAGCGGCGAACATTCGCTTTTCGTCCTCTCAATTTCGTAAACAACACCTGTGGCACGAGAAGGCAGTGAATGGGACTTCCCTGGCAGAGGCTATATACGCGTGGCCATGTGAGAGCATTTCGAGAGGGATAGCGGACTCTCCCCACTCTCGACCGTACCAGGGCATTCGGGGGCAAAGAATGTTTCCGACCAGGTTCGAACTGGGGACGTTCTGTGTTAGACAGACGTGATGACCACTACACGTATCCAGTTAATTTCAGAACACAGTAACCGTTTTTTTGTATTTCAGACACTACCAACAGGCATATAATCATTTGACAGAATTGAGAATGTTAGATGCTCATTTGCTGGAAGTGAAAACAGTAGCTGGATTTATTAACTACAAGGTAACTAGTAACTGTTAATCATTGTATTGTTGGATAATTTCTTTCTGAATCAATAAAAATTCTAGTCTCTGGCATCTCATTAATATAAATATAAATATAAATATGATCTAAATCTTGGAAATTAATGTCATATGTATCTTACATGTGTTGTTTCATGTGTTGCCATGAAACACTCCAAACATGCTTATTATATCTCAACAGTTGTTTTGGTGATGGTCATGTCTGACACCATACTACACAATCTATTATACATCTGTGTAGTCTCACCGATCACAATTCGATATCAAAACGTTTTTCGAATAGAAATTTCAATTGTTTAAACAATTTGGATTTGGCTATTTTCAGACTCACTGTACAATGCGATAATAAGCGTATCATAATTATGTGATATATTTACTCCATACGTCACGAACAGTCTGATCACACACATACTTTTCAAGAATATATATGAAAAAACAAAAGGTCAACTAGACAAATTAGAAAGTACGGGGAAACAAAGATAATAGTAACAAACTAAAAAATGTTTCACCGAAAATCCAAACAGCATCTAAACAATTGTGCCACATTTCATTATGTCTATCACCTTACATGTATGTCCCGAAACACATACATACTATGAGCAATCCTGATCTGCAAGTAAGGTTGGCTAAAGATTTACCTCAGTGGCTATAAAATCAAATGAATTCCAATAGTCAATTAAGGTCATATAATAAAAAAATATCTTCTTCCATTGCGAAACATTTGGCTGAGACCGGTCGCGAGGTTAATATCAAACCAGCCCTTGTGGTGTTCAAGCGAGTATACTAAGTGTTATATCCTAGTAAAGACATAAGTACGGGTAACTTCCGGGATCTATTAATGGACTATTATTCTATATATGTTCTTATTGTTTAACTATTGAGTAATTAGATTATGTATATCTATATTCATCTTATTATAAGCTTCATTTTGACCTATGAATTATTATTATACGATTTACTGTCCCTAAACTATATTCAGTTTATTGATAATTGTATCCCACGTTCACAGCCACATTTGGCTTGATCCTGTAAAAATATTTCTATTTTGTGGTGTGATGCCGTCTGTCTGTCTGGCATATAAACCGAGTGTGCCGAATGATTCGCACAGCAGAAGCTGCAATTGGTGTTCTGGACTCAATTGGAAGGGCTGGGCAGCCAAGGGACCAATAAGGACGCTAGACTGCTCATACCAATTGATCGTCATTGATTTGGCACAGTGTTAAGATTAGACAAGTCGTATTTCAATTGGTGGATAATTCACGTAATCTAAGCCGGACACAAGATTACAACAAATTGGAGACAGCTTTTTTATTTTTTTTAAATTCATAACACTAAGGTTTATCGAGGCCTTAGCTATACCAAAACTGGACCTCCCCCTTATGTGTCCAATCTGTTATTACATTTAAGCTACCCTGTTAACTCCGATTTATTATCCAGCGTTGTTTTTACATTGTGTACTCCATCAATTTCGTCAGGTTGACTTTTTATTTTTCCCTGATATATTATCTTATGAAGTATATGTGTGATCAGATTATTCGAAATGTATTGCACAAATATGTCACATAATTATATTAACATTCGTCTTCTATTCAAATTATCCAAATTTATCAAAGAGATAATTTGTTTTGAGTTACTTTATTTGTAGTTGATATTGCTATGACGTTTATCCATGTAGTCGTATTATTATTATTATTATTATTATTATTATTATTATTATTATTATTATTATTATTATTATTATTATTATTATTATTTAAACACATAAACATAGATACAAGGAGGAACTAAATAGATATGCGTCGCATAAATCATTCGATTTATGTGAGGGCTGGGATACTGTTCGCGTGCCCAGACCGAAGCAGGTGATTTTCATAGGGGGCCACACCCTGAGCCTTCGACCTAAAGGTCTAATCCACAAGGCAGTGGAGCAATGTTAGGAGATGCAGTCCTATGGTGGCCGGTGATCAACAATAGGCTCATACGCTATTCGTTCCCTCAGGATCCTGGAGCCGATGTTCACCATTGGTTTAGAATCAGGGTTTTCCGAATGCCCTAGATGGATCCCCTGTACCCACCAAACTGGTTTATGCGTCGGACATTCGATTTTCGTCCTCTCAATTCGGCAAAGAACATTCCTACCACGAGAAGGCAGTGAGTAGGACTTCCTTGGCAGAGGCTGTATATGCGTGGCCATGTGAGAGCATTTCGAAAGGCAGGGCGGCCCCTCCCCACTCTCGGCATCTTGTGTTCGGGCGCAGGGATGATAATCTAATGGGTGTCACCATCTTGAAACATTGATTTTGGTGGCTTGGACATATTCTACGTATGTTGTACCAGAGAATCCCTCGTCGTGTATTACTTGCCGACGCTGCGACTGGTTGGAAAAAGCGGAGAGGTGGTCAGTGTATGACATGGTGTCGTGATATGAAAGAAAGCTGCAAAGTTCTGGCTTCTGTCGGTCCTTCCCGACTCCCTGGTTGGGGTTTGAGAGATGGTGCAACACAGTGGCTAGAGACGTTATCAGATATGGCTCAGAATGGAAGCCAGTGGCGATCCCGCTGTAACTTTCTTTTACTTTCTTCAAAAAATTGGTTATAACTTCTTTAACTGAAGGAGTTCTTCTGGTCGTATATTTCTGTTTCCCCCACTATTATTCTTATTATTACACTAGATACACTAATCTGTGGTTGTTGTTCTTTTCTTTTTTTTCTTACCCTCTTTTTCTTTTCCCATTCTCATTGTTTCGTATGGCGTATATATATCTGATGCCCCCATGTACCAATACTTATGTGTTCAAATAAATAATAAAAAATCATTCCTGATAAGCTGTTTTCTGATGAAATCTCAATATGCAATCAGAAAGCTCTATTGGCCTTTGCCAAACTGCGTCACTTATGGCTTAGATGAGATATCCGTCTACTAAACAAAGGACGAGTTTACTGTGCAGCCTGTCTCTCCGTTCTACTTTATGAATGTGAAAAATGGCCATTAAGAATAGAAGATATTTGAAAGCTTCTCGTATTCAACCATAGATGTCTTCGAAGCACTGGTCGTATATTTTCAGACTACCGACTAAGCAGTGTTTGAGCTAAGGATAGGGTACTGGGTAAAATGGGAACTCAGTTGATGAGGTATTAATTATCCACCAACTGATGTTGTTGGAACGTATACCTTGTCTGTTGGATCACCGCCTAACTCGATGGGGAATATTGCTTGGTGCAGGAGTAGGGCTGGAAGAAAGCTTTGGGCGTCCAAACTAAAGCATAGCATCATTCCATAATGTCGTTGACGATTAGACTGAACCATGTTAATTGTTGTAGATTACCTAGTTGGGGTCTGTGTGATTGCCGTAACCAATGTTTAAAGACTTTGAATGACATAGCTCAAAATTGCTTGCAATGACCCAAGTGCATCCACTCTTCGTCCTCTTTAGATCTCAAGTTTCTAAAGTTTTAACTTTTTCGTATTTCACCAATTTAAATCTTCTCAAATTATATCTTTGATGGTTTAGCTTTTCTATTATCATTAATACTGTTGTTAATTCTCCTCTCCTGGTATTTTGTCTAGCAGTTTCACCTCTCTATGTATGAAATATAAACCGATGTATATACGTACCAGATTTCTCGCTGCAACTAACTCGTTAAGTGTCCGAATGTTTCAAAAAATTTTGAAGGATAAATACCTATCGATATATCCACATACAAATTTTAAGGCAACCTGGTTTTCTAGGGTTTTCCGTTCATAAATCGTGGTCAAACCGTCTGATAATTATGATGCTGATATTTTAGAAATTATGTTGGTCGAACTACTACATTTAATACAAGAGGATTTCTACTCTTGTTTATGAAATGGACAACCAGTGATTGGTACCATCCAGATAGAATTCAGTCAGTCAGCCACAACGTAGAACTTCGTACGTCCGTACATCAGTTCGAGTTGCCATACCACATTAGCACAGAGATGCAGTTGTCGATTCAAATTCTATAGTGGTAGAGGTAGTAAGAGTATAAGCATTATGTGAAAGATAAGGGTTTGAAGATGTTATTCAAGGAGTATAGTCCAGTGAAATAAATTTGGAAAGAGAAAAAAGATAGAGACATGAAGAATTCGGAAGATTAGAATTTGACAGAACACAAAGAAATCCAGATAGAATTGCGTTCAGCTGGTATTTTTTACACAGTTTCTTTATGATTATGGCATTTGAATTTGATTTATTACTTCTCGTTTCTGATCCTTGCTTTACCTAATCCTCTTTTGGCAGTCAAGTATTATCACTAGCCCTTTTACAAAAGTGTAACTAAAGGTTGTCTGTATGAGGCTGTACCTGGTTAGTGAGTTGTCTTGGAATTTGTCGTATTGTTTATTTACCTATGCCACCGACGCGTTTTTGTCTGTTTATATGACGTCATCAACAACCTTTACTATATATCATTTTTGTTTAGATATGCCGCCTGGCTTTTCAAAATAATGCATCTGATGCAATATCACAATTTCGAAGACATATTAATTTTTTTGCTAATCTCGTCGGATTACCACAGTTAGCTTTTGAGCATGAAGCATGGATGTCAAAGCAGTAAGTGGTGTGTTGCATTATTTTATTTCTGTGCCGCATAAAATGTGAAGTAGTGATGATTTACTGGAGGGAGTGGTATTCATTTTTGTTCAATACATAGTTCAATAGTTTATCTCTATTAATACGTTTTGTAAATTTCTTAGGTTTGAAATTCTTGGAGATCTTTTTCAAGAAGCTATCAAATCTAGTCTCACTCCTCTTATGACCCAACATCCTGGATTATATTACCAAGAAGCATCTAGACATGCTGTTTGCCGTCGTCAGTTATGTCAAGCTCTATGCATCCCTACTGTTAAAGCTGCTGAAATGAATGCAGATGACAGATTATACTATCCTTTGCCAACAGAATCTAATGAACCCATTGTTGGAATTGACTCAACTTTCGCTACAGACAGCGGTCTACTTGCTGAAGAAAATGATTCTTCACCTCATTCGCCAAATCATTCTTTAGAATGTTCCAGATCAAAGCGTACAGCGATCAACACCGCTGTAGAGTTTGTTCGAGCTCAGTCACCTCTTTTATTTAGAAAGCAGATTTTTACAACGGACAGTCCAAACTTATCAGGCTGTCATTCAACCAGTCAGGTACCTGCAACAGATTGTTTGTCAGCCACAGAGAAAATAAACGGTCTTGAATTTTACGGTCAGCGACCTTGGCGCCAAGGTATTCAAAGTATTGAACCACCAAATCCAACAAAAGAACGAGAAGGGATCTTAAGTTTGCAAAAAGAAGAACTCAAAGTGGATCATTCTGTAAGTTTTGTTATTTGTAGTATATTTTAGTCAACTTAGCTAATTAGTCTTATATTATGTTTGCCGATGTTTTCAAGTGTCGCCCCACAGTTAGCAAAATGTGAATAACGTGTTTGACTTCTAAGCCTTTTACTTATGACATTTGATTGTTTATGCGAACACAAATGGGCACCAAAGCGAATACGCTTGACACAAATAATGAAGTAAGGTTCAGAAGAAATAGAAGAGGGGTGGATCTAATCAAAAATAAATAAATGAGATCAGTTAGAATGTCATACTCGATTTCAGAAAAGCTAATTCAGAAACCTTATTCGGTAGTAGCAACCGAACTTTCGACCAGTCAGTGACTTAAGATCGTTTATATGGGACAGAATTTCCACCGCAGATGAGCTGCTGCGTGAGTTGGTGAATAAAAGTAAACACAGAGTGAATACAAATGCGGATAGAAAAAAGCATAAAATGAATTTCTATGTAACTAGGTTACCGCAGATACCGTTTGTATAGATAACGAGAGCAACCAGAAACGTTTTCTCGTTAATAATCATTTTCATAATTGTGTGTGGGATAGGATACTGCTCAGGTTCTCAGACCAAAGAGATTAGTTTTCTCAGGGGACTACTCCTCGAGCATCTGATTGAAAGGTTTAGTAGAAATAGCAGTGGAGAAACGTCAGGGAACGCAATCCTATGTTAACCAGTGACCAGGAATATGATCTGTTATGCTTGTGGCCGAGTGGATGACTAGTTGATGTGTGACGCGATAAGACTGCCAAACAGGGAGCAGCGAATTATCGGTTGGAACAGTGACACGAAACCCTTACGAGCAGACTAGAGTGCTAACCGGTCCTGCGATCTGCCTAGCCCAACCAGTTAAGCCCAAAACACCAATAACAGCCTCAGTGGTATGAATCATTATTTACAAACACACTGGGTTTTTATACAAACCAAAGTAATCAATAAACTGATTATAACTCAAGAATCGTATGATAATAACTCAAAGGTCAAAATAAAGCTAATGATAAGTGAAATACGAATATGAATAGTTCAGTTACGTAATAATTGTACAATAGGAAATAGACGCATTACATTGATCCATAAATAGACCTAAAAGTTACCATTCGTAATTCACCGGGGGATATAACATGATCATACGCTATTCGATCCTTCAGGGTCCTGGAGAGCATGTCCACCGTTGGTTTGAACTCAGGGTTTTTCACTTCCCGAAGGTGGATCGTCTGTAGTCACCGATCTGCTCTAAGGGTTGGACACTCGCTTCTTATTTGCCCCCCAAATGCCCTGGTACAGCCGAGAGTGGGGAGAGTCACCTCTCCCTCTCGAAATGCCCTCACATGGCCAGCGAATATATAGTCTCTGTCAGGGAAGTCCTACTCACTGCCTTCTCGTGGCATTACTGTTGTTTACGAAAGTGAGAGGACGAAAAGCGAATGTCCGGCGCTTTAACCGGGTTGGTGGACACGGAGGGTCCACCTAGGGGAGTTGGAAAACCCTGATTCCAAACCAATGGTGCACATGGGCTCCAGTATCCTGATGGAACGAATGGCGGACGAACCTGTCATTGGTCAACGGCTACCATGGGACTGCATCTCCTCACGATGCCCCACTGCCTTGTGGATTAGATCTTTCGGTCAAAGGCTCCGGGTGTGGCCCCCTAAGAAAACCACCTGCTTCAGTTTGGGCACCTGGGCAGTATCACAGCCCTCACACAAATCGAATGAGATTTGTGAGGCGCATATGTATCTGGTGCTTCCTTGTACCAATATTTATGTGTTTAAATAAGTAAATAAATAAATAACTTCCGCAAAAAGGCAGTTAGTAGAACTTGCCTAGCAGTGGCTATAAACTGGTACTGTATGAAAGCATCATAAGGAGGACGGACTGTTTCCAAACTTGATCGCACCAGCGCATTAGTACGGACATCTCATAGTTAATCTTTTTTAATTCAGTCATTGGATGTAAGCGGCGAACAGAAGTGTATTCCGCTTTCCAATCTATTTATTTTCATATGTGTTTTATGTGCTCTTTGTTTCTTATTTCTTGAATTCGTTTTGTTAGGTTATAACTTATAAATATTTTGCCACACCACAAAAATGCCCTGGTACGGTCGAGGGTGAGGAGTATCCACTCTACCTCTCGGAATGCTCTCACATGGCCATGTGCATACAACCACTGTCAGGGAAGTCCTACTTACTGCCCTCCCGCGGTGGGGCTGTTCTTTACCAGATTGAGAGGACGAAAAGCGAATGTTCGACGCTTTAATTGGGTTGGTGGATACAGAGCATCCACCTAGGGGAGTTGGAAAACCCTGATTTCAAACCAATGGTGCACAGGGGCTCCATGATCCTGAGGGAACAAATGGCGTATGAACTTATTGTCGATCACTGGCCACTGGTAATGGTGTGAAGATCTGCTAACTGGAGAGAGACTTTTCAACCTTCAGTATGTGGATGACATTGTCTTACTGTGCGATGACACCCAAGCCATACAATCCATACTTAACCATTTAGAAGTCAGTGTCCATAGGTGCGGCTTGTGCTTTGCACTTTCGAAGTGCAAAGTACTTTTACAAGACTAGTATGACCCTGGACATGCACTCACCCTAGGTAGTGAGCAGATAGAGGTGGTTAAGAAGTTCGTGTATATCTGGGTAAGTTCTGGCGGTGGCGGTGGTGGTGGTGTGAGTGATGAGATCAATCCACATATAGTGAAAGCCAGAGCAGCCTATGGCAATCTGGGCCTTCTTTGACGCCTTCATGATATTAGTCCGGCTGTAAAGAGTCTGGTCTACAGTGTGTCAACCCGATCGTTGCTGCTACCTTGACGTGGTGGTCGGGCTTGCCTATCGTGATGAAGCAATCGAGCTATGCTGGCTGGAACAATCGTTACTCGAGGTCCTACCATGCCAGACAGGTCGGTTGAAGAGCGGTAAGACTAGATCAGTTGTTCGTCAAACGAACAATGAAAAACTGTATGTACATTTTCCGTCAAAAGGGAAAATAATTACTCTTAAACTGTCAAACAGTAAATCGCTGAATGTTGAAAAATGTAACCTTTTTGACAAGCATATGTGTAATATAGGTTGAATGAAGTGTCAATGAACAAGCCTATGTCTAGTGAAATAAATTTCTATTTCAATGATATGACTTAATGTGGAATAAGTTCAATAGTATCAAGTAACCATTATGTATTTAGAATATCGTATTTCAATCTGTCAAGTTAAACTGTACATTCATTTATCAAATGTCTAAATGACATTTATCAGTGTATCGAATTTTTGCAATGCCGTGATAAATCTCATAAGAAAAATTATTATTACATTTCGTATATTCCATTATTATTATTATTATTATTATTATTATTATTATTATTATTATTATTATTATTATTATTATTATTATTTTTAATGACTTGTTAGACATGTAAGTCTTCATTATATGACGTCGTTTTCTGTTCGGAATCGTTTACTGAAACCTTAAATTTGAAAAACCTTAAAAGCTGTTGACAAAATTATAAAGTGATCGATATTATTATTAATCTAGAAAAAGTGATTTTACATCTTCATTACTATGGAATTGTGATGAATGATCAGTGTCTGTTCACTTGACCTTCCCAATATAAATTATCTTGTTGTACTAGTGAACTGATCTCAGTACAATCGTCCACCGCCGCTAAGTGAAAAGAGATTGGAATAATCGTACACATCTTTGCATATACTTTTGTTTGACAAATTAGTGTTCATTATATGACGTTGTTTTCTGTACGGAATCGTTTACTGAGACCGTAAATTTGAAAAACCTGAAAAGCTGTTGGCAAGGTAATAAAGCTTTATTACTATGGAATTGTGATGACCGATCAGTGTCTGTTCACTTGACCTTAGCAATAGAAATTATCTTGTTGTACTAGTGAACTGATCTTACTACATTTCTCTACTGTACCTATTAACCAAATCATATGAATATGAAATGAATTATTGATGGTTTCATGACTCCTCCTTAAAATGGAAACAAGAAATTCAAACAAAATTTAAATCAAATTGTGGGTGTCCCTGAAAAGGGCCTTTACTCGGTCTCTACACAGGTCCTTAGGTCGTGATCAATGACTCCACTATGAGTCCGTGACAGCGCCGCACATGGGACAGTTGAACCCAGGTGATACTTCTGTTGGGTCGTAGGCACAGAACGAATGAAACATAGCGTTACAGGGACAAAAAATCCAAGCACTTCCATCAGCTATTTCACCGGGCGGCTGACGTAGATGGCAAATATCACACAGTCGGTCATTGTGCGCACGTTCGTCTTCTTCATTGTCTCGGTCCGTAAACTCTTTTGAGTTCATAGATATTACTTCAATCTCGTTATCATTTAAGGTAGCATCCAAATCTACGTTCCATTGATGGTCGGTGCCTGTGGTATTTCGGACGATGGGCATTGTGATGGTAGTAGGTAATCCATCGTAAAGCAACTGATGAGCATAGTTAAGTAGAGCGGTATGCTGTTCAGCGGACATACGCCGACATAAGTAGTGAATCGATGTTTGGACGTTTGTCTGCCCGACTTGTACCGGTAACTCATTGTCAATCGTTACTCTGGTTACGTAGATCTTGGAATGCAGCCATCTGTCACCAATGCTTTCTCTGTGAACTTCGACGTTAGCGTGCTAACAATATGCCAAGATGTGACGACATACGACTCTGTGTTCTACATAAAAGATACAGGAACAACTAATAGGATTTCTGGAGACTGTGTAAGTTTCTGTAGTATCAACGGCCGTGAAGAACTCCCCCGACAATACGAAGTCAGTAACAGGAACACGCAAGTGCCGCTTCAGCAGTTGACATGCAGCAGGTGTAAGTGTTTTCTGAAGACAACGTAGTTGTGGCTCGCGACCCAGCACAGCTCTGCTACGGCATTCAGTGGAGTACTTTTGAACTATAGCTTCTATCCAATATCCAATGCGAAGCAGAACACTAAATATCGATCTGAACACGGGTGTTTTTCTGTTCAGCTTATGCAACTTTAAAATTCGATGGGTCGTCTCAACGAAATTTGTATTGCTTTGATCTAGAAGCATTGCAGCTGGTCTAAAAGCGTTCGACCACTTGTGCTTTTTGGACAATAACTGATCTCTCAAATATTGGTAGAAATTCCCGTCTGCTGCTTCGATAAATGACACATACCGTTGGAAGCTACAATACATTGTAAAGCATATTTCGATTTACCTTTCCACATTTCTTGTTAGCATAAGACGGTAGAACATTTGAAGAAGATCAGATCGTAGCCTCTACGAATACGATGAATGAGTTAATTCTAAAGAAAGGAAAGCTTACCCTCTTGATGACATTTCGAAGCAGGTGCACGTGACACAAAAGGTGGTGTGAATTGGGATATACCTGCGTTATGGCAGCAGCTATAGCAGGTGATTATCCAGATATCAACATTGGCTTCACTGTTTCCAATTCCGCCGCCGTTAATCGGCGCATCCATATGTTACAGTCGTACCTCAGGGAATTGCACTCGTGATTGTGATGCAGATTCCCACGAACAACAGTCCAATAACCTTCAAGAAACTTATAAAAGATGAAGGTCGGACATTGTGTGTCCATTGAAGTCCCCAATGAACAATATAATAACACTAATCAAATTACCTCCTTCGTCTAATCCGCTGCGAAGAACCGCTTGGTGTTCTATAGCTCTTTCTCCAACATACAAATTTAATATACGGCTTTCGATCTCCATGGAAATGAGAATGTCTCACCGCATAATGGCAGTACGTTGCTATTTCATAAGTTCTAATGGCGCTCCTTAACGCTTCCAGTGATGGTAACGCTACCAGATACAATGTATTCAGAAATGCATTTTCCGTTTCTGTGACTAGGTGAGGAACAACAGAGCCTCTAATTTGCACGTTACTGACGTCCATATTGTGAAGAAAATTATCTATATCGATAAGTACAGAGCTTTTATACGAATTTCAAGAATTACATAACCAATTATAACGCATTTACAACTAGGAATTTCATTGGACGAAACGGATTGAAAAATAATGGAAAATGGGATGAAAATTTTTTGATTAAGGGGAGGAAAAAAATTTATTAAAAAAAATCGACGTGATCCTAATGTTATTCCGATAGTAGTATTTCTTGACCTTAAGGCGGCATTTGACTCCATTGATCGTGAGGTTCTAAGGAAGTGTTTGTCAGTGAAAGGAGTATCAAAGAAGTACATTAACCACATAAAGGCTCTACTCGAACACAACTGGTCGAGTTGGAGCCTATGGCGAACTGTCATCAGAATTGGTTACCTCAAGTGGTGTTCGTCAGGGCTGTCCACTCTCCCCATTCTTGTTTAACTTTAATCAGATATTCACTCTATTTCAGGTCCTAGAACATAGACATACATACATTCAGACGTCCCACAATAGTAGTATTTCTTGACCTTAAGACGTTGTAACTGACTGACTGTGTCGATGAGAGCAGTTTTACTGTATGCTTGTGAAACCTGACCTCTCCGAAGTGGCTCCGAATAGAAGCCAGTGGAGATCCTCCTTTCACTTTCTTCACAAAAGTGGATGTAACTACTTTAACTTGAAGAATACATTCTGGTTGTGTTTTTGTTAACTGAACTGTTTCTCCGATTATTGTTATAATTATTACTATTATTACACTCTCATACACTAATTTCTGTTAATTGTTGTTCTTCGTTTATTATACACATTTTACATTCTCTGTCTCTTCACGACCTCATTGTTATTGCGTAGCGCATATGTATTTGGTGCCCCCTTGTACTAATGTTTATTCGTTCAAATAAACAATTGAATAAATAAATGAGAAATTTTTAGTTCACTTTCATGGGATGATCTGCTACATAAAATCATGTTTTTGGATTTTCTCTATCCAACCAACAACATTTAGATCTTATATATAATCTTGTAAATAAGTTTTAAAGATAATTCGTTTTTTTGGTGGTGTCTCTCTGCTTACTTCACAAGTTACATGGCTTCGTATTCTATTAACATTAAAAGTGTATTATTTCGATTGTAATAAATCATGCTCCATGCATCAAATATCTGTTAATGAGAGCAAGATATACTCTGTTTTTACTTAAATTATTTTCTCAACAATTATAAACACTATTAGTCAAAATTAGTCAACATTATCAGTACTTTTGAAATTTCAGAGTTTTATTATACCACTGCTTGAACAAACTCGATTGCAATACAGACGATACAAAGCTGAACGAATGAAACTTTATCCATGTGAGTGATTAGTTTAACTGCTTTTATTGTTTTTCATTGTCATTATTGAGTATCGAACTGTAGATTTTAGCACTTTTCTTTTATTCACTCTTACCACGAGGAAACTTTCGATAATAAATTACTATATTCTAATATTTTTGAGATAAGAATTTGGATAACTCATTAGGTTTTATTGGTTCTCAAGATCTATGGATTTGGATTTTTCTGTGCCACTGCAATCACTTTTATTTTGTTTTATGATGTGTAATTTGACAGTTTGTGGTATTTTTGGTGTTACGAAACAATGATAAATCATAAGTACACATGCAATTTCATTAAGGTATGACAAACTTTTTTTCCGGAAGAGTACCACATCTCATTACTAACATCATTTAATTCAAAGATTAGATTCATTCGATTTTGTGCTCCCCAAGGGTCATTGAATAATGTGTACATGTAGTAACAGTATTCCATTTTATTAGCTCCAAGGCTGCATAAGTGTACTTTATCTTCTTGGTTTTATAAAATTACTATATGTGCATCAGTGCTTAATTTTCAGCATTCATGAATTTCAACTTAAGGTATACACTTTCACTGTTTTGTCTCATTATTTCCTAGGATGTTTCACTTACTACAATTATATACGAATTTATTTAGTAAATAAAATATTTGTCTTTTCTCTCTAAATATTCCAGTTCTATTTGCGATTACATAACCACATTTGTTTAACGTTATTGATAGACATTATACAAATCTTTGATCAGCTTTGTCAGTTTATCCTGTCAATTCTAAGTTGCCTTTTTTACACATTTTTATTTCAGGTATTTTAATGGGTTCTGAATATTATGATAAACAGGATTATGATAAGGCTCTCAGGTGAACGTGAAAATAAACAATTAACCATTTCTTTTTTAGTTGTTATTTAAGTGTAATAAATGAATATCGTAGCGAAAAATGGTGGTCTCTCTATACTTTCACACTGAAGCGAATTGCAACGTAAGTGTTATAACAAAATAGCATTAATATATTTACAAATTTCTTTAAATGACAGTATATACTTCACCCGTTTAGGTGCAATTGTTTTCCTATTATAGCGCATGTGGTAGTTTTGTGAGACGCTGGAACTTGGATTTCTTCGTAAAGGCTTATTAAATACCTTTGTCAATTAGCTTAGTAACTGGTTTTAATTTACTAATCGTTAACGTTTAATTTGTACTATTGATTAGAACATTACGCTTACGACCACATACAAACTGATTCGTGTACAGGAAAGGTTAACCGTAGCTTCTTCTGTAGAATAAATAGGAATGTTTCTCAATGTGGTATTTTAGGACATTTTAAATAGATTTTACATTGATTGATCTATTCAGACCTGTTTTTTTGATTGATCATCTAATATTCTTGGATTGTTCCGTTGTACTATTTAAACTTGGATTAATGTTAATTTGGTTATTTATTCTCTGAAGAAGTGGTTTACACTAAGTCACGAAACGTCAGAAAATCTAATTTTTCTACTCATTAGGATATTACAAATATATTAATTTATTTATTTTACATAACAGTTATCTACATAGAAAATCAAGTCTGCCGTCGTTCGTAAACCTAATATTGTGGCAACATTCACAGCCATTATTCATTTAATTGAATTAAATATTCTACTAAATATTCACTTAAATATCAATCCACAAATCATAGTCTTATTTTTAATCAGTAGATAATTAGAACTATCCCCTTTTTAGATGCGCATATTTGATAGCTCAGCCCACAGTATTTCTATCCTCATGTTTGGAACTTCTTGGACCCAGTGAGTTTTCTCCTGCATTATTTGTAGAGCACATTAACTTCATCATGTACAATGTTTTGTATCTTAATTTCATCTGGTTATTTTCTGGCCTTTCATTTTTTTTAGCAGATCAGGTTATTAATGTGAAAGTTGAAGAGGACTAAAACAAAGTAGCTAAACATGAATTCGTTTTGTTCTACAAAATTGATTAAATCATCGCAAACATATGCAATTTCTAGAAAATCAATTAAAGTAATATCAAAAGATCATAAATTCGAAATTAAGTGTTTATATGATGAATTACTGAACACGGGTTAATAGTAAGATCATTAATTAAAAAATAATATGATGATGCTTCCAAACAAAAGAGGTTTGAGAAAACGATCTTATAAAATGATGGCAAAGAAAACTAATTGACTTCTTTTTGATCAAGTAAATTAAGTTTCAAGCGTTTAATAGCTCCGGTGAATTTTAAAATGTTAGAGCTTGTTTGTTTATTAAACACTTTAAAAAGTTTTAGGTTGTCCCATGTCATTGTGATGCCTCCAGCTCACACCATTAAAAACTTTCATTCCTTTAAGTGGAAAATACTTTACGATATGTTCGTAAAATCTAAGACAAAACTTTCTGTCTTATTAGCGTGATTGCTTTGAGAGATACGCTTAAGTCTGAACGAACGTAACAAAAGTACTTGTCCATCTTCGGTTGTCCCGTGACAAATAACTGACATTATTGCTATAAATAAATTCATCATTTGAACTCGATGTGATAAGGGTTTAACACAGAATTAATCATTGCCTCATATTATCTTTAATAATTTTTGTTATTTATCTAAAAAAGCTCTGCCTCGATTGTTCGGCTAGGCGTTGGAATTATTTAAACTGGCTTACTGTTGTCCTTCCAAATATAATTTGACATTTGGTGTCTGTTGTATGATTGACGTCCAATTTCTACCAAACTTTTTGTTTGGATTTGGACTAATGTTCATACATATTTTATAACTCGACCGTAGATGCTACCTTGACGTGGTGGTCGGGCTTGCCTATCATGATGACCGTTGATCGTGAGGTTCTATGGAAGTGTTTGTCAGTGAAAGGAGTATCAAAGAAGTACATTAACCTCATAAAGGCTCTCTACTCGAACACAACTGGTCGAGTTAGAGTCTATGGCGAACTGTCATCAGAATTGGTTACCTCAAGTGGTGTTCGTCAGGGCTGTCCACTCTCCCCATTCTTGTTTAAGTTTGTCGTCGACATGCTTTTGGAGATAACACTTTCATCATCTCAATCTCCAGGAGTTGAACTTTTACCAGGAGATTCACTTGTTGACTTAGAATACGCCGACGACATAGTTTTATTCAGTGAAGACGCTGACAAAATGCAGAGTCTTCTGACCACCATAAGCAACAATGCAGGCATGTTCGGGATGCGATTCTCTCCCTCGAAGTGCAAAATGTTACTTCAGGATTGGGTTGCATTGACACCTGAACTAATGATAGGGAGTGAAGTAGTTGAGCGTGTTGACAGCTTCACTTATGTTGGGAGTCTGATCAGCCCTTGTGGTCTGGTGTGTGTGACGAAATCTCAGCACGGATACAGAAGGCTCGTCTAGCTTTCGCCAACTTGCGCCATTTATGGCGTAGGCGAGATATCCGTCAAACAACCAAAGGACGGGTTTACTACGCAGCAGTTCGTTCCGTCCTATTTTATGGCAGTGAAACATGGCCGATAAGAGTAGAAGATATTCGTAGGCTATTAGTATTCGATCATAGGTGCCTTCGACGCATTGCTCGTATATCCTGGGACCACCGGGTAAGTAATGCAGTTGTTGTTATGAAACGGGTACTAGGTAAGGATGGCAAAGTCGATTGATGAAGTAGTGAAACTTCATCAGTTGAGATGGCTGGGACATGTGTTACGTATGCCCAACCGCCGACTGCCATGACGTGCAATGTTTTATGGTGTAGGAGCAGGTTGGAAGAAAGCTAGGGGCGGCCAGACTAAAACATGGCATAAATCCATGAAGTTACTGACAAGTGGACTGAACCATGTTGGTAGGTGTAGACTACCTGGTTGGGGTTCGCAAGATGATAGCAACCGATGGTTAGAGACCTTGAATGACATGGCTCAAAATCGTTTGCAATGGCGAAGATGCATACACTCCTTGTGTTCTACCAAATTCTAATCTTCTGAATTCTTCATGTCCGTATCCTTTTTCTCTTTCCAAATTTATTTCACTGTATTATACTCCTTGAATAACATTTTCAAACCTTAATCTTTCGGATTACTGCTTATACTCATACTACCTCTACCACTATAGGATTTGAATCGACAACTGCATCTCTGTGCTAATGTGGTATGGCAACTCGAACTGATGTACGGACGTACGAAGTTTTACGTTGCGACTGACTGACAAATTTTATAATGTTTGCATAATGTGAGATATTCGGTACACACATGGACCTCCTTTCTATGTAATTTCATTTCATCACTGATGGGTAGAACATGCTTCGCCTTTTTCGGTTTACCTAACTTATTTTCATGAAATTAGTTGGTTTTGCTTCCCAATTCTTATGTTGTTATTGTTACTTTTTGGGTGCTCTTCTCTTTAACTTTTTCTTTGTTTTCCATTGTTTGCCGTTCTAGACAGCTCAATGCCTCTCTGTGACAAAGTACAGGCTCAACAAGCAATTTTTGATTTCCTTAAGGTAATTTATCAACTGTTCTATTTATATAGTTGTTTCGATCAACACATTTCTAATGAACATGTATGGTTAGCTTCTGTGTTGTGAGTAAACAGAATAATTAGTGTTATATTTCATCGGTTTGATAGTTTTTACTATGTGAAAAGTAAGAATAACAATACCTAAAAACACATCATTCAATTGTGAAGGTCCGGGTTCAAGCTTGATATAAATGTTAGTAATACGCAAATAATGAGACTGGAAAATAACTTAATTTTTTATATCGCTGATTTACTCCATGGAGCAACCTAATTGTTAGTCTAATTTTAATAAAATGTCCTTGGATTTCTTTTCAAGACAATGGATACAAACATATTTACTGATTGTTTCATTTTCTAACAGTAAAGGTCTTTTGGTTTGGATATGCTTAAAAAATGCCCCACCTTACTGTCTCGATTTCACTCTTAGTTCGTAATGCTCTAGATAATTTTTTTTCTTATTTTAGACAGGAGTTCCTAATCTCATAATGTTTGCTCCTGAGCTTGATCATACCATAAAAACTATCGAAGACGGGTGGAGAAAACAGTTAGACGTGCTAATGCAACATACTTCGAACGCTCATTCGGACGTTGCACATAATGAATCAGCCAGTGAGAATAAAGTGAATATCGAGAAAAAGTCACAAAGTTCAACCGATTCACATTTTGGCGAAAAGTGTAGAATTTCATTGGACATTACCCGACTTAATACATGTAGTAAGTGTGTAAATAAAGGGATAATCAATATTAAATCCCAAATAAACTAACGGATAATTTCGTTTTCATCTAATCTGTCATGTAGAACATTGACTTAATCGTTAAGGCATTTAATTTTCAAACAGAAACGAACCCCGCTTCACCTATTCCGATTTTACCATTCAGTTGGAATTATTATTCGTCCCACACATTCAGAATATGTCTCAAAACAGAGTACATAATCTAAGTATAATAGGAGAAAAATACTTAACAAATAATTGCTTTAAAACTTTTTTTTCATGTTTACTACTCAATGTAGCCCAACAGATACAAAGTCAAGTCCATTCGCGCCCAAGTTTAGTGTGTTTGATCCCAATAATTTAGATCTTCTGAACTTGCCTGTGATAATTCATTCTTGTATTGGTTGCTTAAATCTTTTCATTGATGCTCAGGACTGCAATTAATCAGGCTCTTATTAACATATGTGTATACTGTTCGTATTGCCTTGATATTGCCTCAAGTCACAAGCATCATAAGCAGAGATGAAGCGTTTGAAGCGAACGGTACTGCGCTCGAGTCCCAGAGTAAATATCAACTGGGGGATGCAGGTACATCCAGCTGACAACACGCGCGTCCTGGATTCCACTGCTAGTCACCATCATCTTTTTATGGTAACTTATGAATTTTCATTTTTAGTCTTCCTGAACACTGTACCATCTGAAGTCCAGTTATATAACGTTCTATTGTTAAATCATATCATAGAAATTAGTCGTATTATATTAATCTCATCATTATTTTTATCTTTCAGTACAGTGCAAAGTTTGCTTTTCACAATCAGAATATACTTTTGGTCAACCGGTTCAGTTAGCTGTTTTCTTACGGTATTGTATAAATAATCTCGTTTTTTATTTTAATTAATTGGCATTCTGTTGCGTCTTCATATATTTTAATAAAGTTGCTTTTCAGCAGTGTTTCGATTCATCCAGGCGAACAACAACGTCTACTACATCGTACATCTAACTAGCTTACTTTATAACAGCTCAACAACAGTCGATTAGTAAGAATTAATAGTTTATTTTAATAAACATGAACTTTATCGGTGGAATCTCGATGTCCCACTACTTGTTACCAACTTTTGTACTTTGTACTCGGACTGTGGTTAATCATTTTTAGTCTTGATACCTTGGTGATACCATAGTGTACGAATCTCCATAAGGATATCGAGCGATTTGTATTTCTTTTGGTGAATGATATATGCAATGTAAAAAGGCTCAAGCACTGTTACCTAAATGTGGTATAAACTTTTCACTTTTTATCGATGATTCATCGCAAATCATCAGTCAGACGGTAACATAGGCATCAAGAACGGGTGTTAGCTGGACCACCATTAAAAACTTTGAAGCATTGGACAGCCCTCTCATTCTAGTATGAGATTTAGCAGCGCTAAGATCAGTTCATAATTTAAACTGTGAAGTTTCTATGATCTTCACAAATTCTCTATACTAATATAAACTACTTTCAAATATATTTTTAATAGTTCAGACCATGAGTTAATTGAAGTTAGACCACCACGAAAAACCTGGAAGCACTGGACGGCCGTTTCGTTCTATTGTGGGACTCTTCAGCAGTGTGCATGTACAATCCCGCCTCGCGAAATTCGAACCCAGGACCTATCATTCTCGCGCGCGAGCGCTTAACCTCTAAACTACTGAGCGGGCCGGCATCCAACGGCGTTAATGCCTAACTTCGACCGATCCACGAAATTAAGCGACACATTCACCATTGTCTTCAGTGAGTTACTATCTCACACCAGACCTGCTTGAACTCCACTGGTAACTGCTTCTCACTAGAACTCCAGGCAATATCTCTTGAAGCCAGTCACTATCAAGCATATGTTGAATAATACCCCTTCTGATTTTAAATGTATATTGTTAGTTAGCCACTTGATCTTATTTATTTTCCATGTTGAACGGCATTATTTGCCACTATGACTATTTGGGATACAGAAAAATTGATCATAATCAAGTATCTCATGACCAGTGATAATGATAATGTTTCCCTTGTTTTAGCCTACTGCAACTGACTACTTGTGAACCTGTTTGATATTAATCTTGGTTATTTCTTTATTTTCATTTCTAGATCGTTTGCTCCTCTACCCATCCTTGTTCATCATGTCACCGTGACTTTTTCTAACAAGGTAGTTTAAATAAACTTATCGTCACATCACCGGATAATTCTACCATGTCTTTTTAGTAATCCTGAATTATATATCATGTTAGTGATTTGCACACAGCAAGCTAGTGCATTATTCAATTAAATGTTTTTGGGTGATTAGTTTAATTGAAACATACTTATCAATACGCAAACCAATGTCAGTCAGAGAACCGATAAAAAGTCAGGCTGTATTGGTCAGTTTATTTATTCTAATTTGAGATAGTTTAGCAATTTGAATACCTGACCCTACATACAAGATTTATTTATTTGACCACATAAACATTGGTACAAAAAGCACCAAATACATATGCGCTACGCAATAACGATGGGGTCGTGAAGAGACAGAGAATGTAAAATGTGTATAATAAACGAAGAACAACAATTAACAGAAATTAGTGTATGAGAGTGTAATAATAGTAATAATTATAACAATAATCGGAGAAACAGTTCAGTTAACAAAAACACAACCAGAATGTATTCTTCAAGTTAAAGTAGTTACGTCCACTTTTGTGAAGAAAGTGAAAGGAGGATCTCCACTGGCTTCTATTCGGAGCCAATTCTGAGAGGTCAGGTTTCACAAGCATACAGTAAAACTGCTCTCATCGACACACTGTAGACCCGACTCTTTACAGCCGGACTAATATCATGAAGGCGTCAAAGAAGGCCCAGATTGCCATAGGCTGCTCTGGCTTTCACTATATGTGGATTGATCTCATCACTCACACCACCACCACCGCCACCGCCAGAACTTACCCAGATATACACGGACTTCTTAACCACCTCTATCTGCTCACTACCTAGGGTGAGTGCATGTCCAGGGTCCTACTAGTCTTGTAAAAGTACTTTGCACTTCGAAAGTGCAAAGCACAAGCCGCACCTATGGACACTGACTTCTAAATGGTTAAGTATGGATTGTATGGCTTGGGTGTCATCGCACAGTAAGACAATGTCATCCGTATACTGAAGGTTAACAAATCTTCACACCATTACCTAGAAGGACTTCTCATCAAGATACCAAAGAAAGGCGATCTGAGCAAGTGCGACAACTACAGAGGCATCACTCTCCTCTCAATACCAGGAAAAGTCTTCAACAGAGTATTGTTAAACAGGATGAAGGATTCCGTGGACGCTCAACTTCGAGATCAACAAGCTGGATTTCGTAAGGATAGATCGTGCACAGATCAAATCGCAACTCTACGTATCATTGTGGAACAATCAATCGAATGGAATTAATCACTGTACATCAACTTCATCGACTACGAGAAGGCATTTGATAGCGTGGACAGGACGACACTGTGGAAGCTTCTTCGACACTACGGTGTGCCTGAGAAGATAGTAAACATCATACGGAACTCCTATGATGGACTAAACTGCCAAATCGTCCACGGAGGACAACTCACCGACTCGTTCGAGGTAAAGACCGGTGTTAGGCAAGGTTGCCTACTCTCACCCTTTCTCTTTCTCCTGGTGATCGACTGGATTATGAAGACGTCAACATCTGGAGGAATGCACGGGGTACAGTGGACAGGCAGGATGCAGCTTGACGATTTAGACTTCGCGGATGATCTGGCTCTTCTATCACAAACGCAACAACAAATGCAGGAGAAAACGACCAGTGTAGCAGCAGCCTCAGCAACAGTAGGTCTCAATATAAACAAAGGGAAAAGCAAGACTCTCCGATACAATACAATATGCACCAATCCAATTACACTTGACGGAGAAGCTTTGGAGGATGTGGAAATCTTTACATATCTGGGCAGCATCATTGATGAACACGGTGGATCAGATGCAGATGTGAGGGCGAGGATCGGCAAAGCAAGAGCAGCATACCTACAGCTGAAAAACATCTGGAGCTCAAAACAATTGTCAACCAACACCAAGGTTAGAATTTTCAATACAAATGTCAAGACAGTTCTTCTGTATGGGGCAGAGACGTGGAGAACTACGAAAGCCATTATCCAGAAGATACAAGTGTTTATTAACAGCTGTCTACGCAAGATACTTCGGATCCGATGGCCAGACACTATCAGCAACAAGTTACTGTGGGAGAGAACAAACCAGATTCCAGCGGAGGAAGAAATCAGGAAGAAGCGCTGGAAGTGGATTGGGCACACTTTGAGGAAATCACCCAATTGCGTCACAAGACAAGCCCTCACATGGAATCCTGAAGGTCGAAGGAGAAGAGGAAGACCAAAGAACACATTACGCCGAGAAATAGAGACAGACATTTGAAGAATGAACAAGAACTGGAAAGAACTAGAAAAGAAGACCCAGGACAGAGTGGGTTGGAGAAAGCTGGTCGGCGGCCTATGCTCCATTGGGAGTAACAGGCGAAAGTAAGTAAGTAAGTAATTACCTAGATCCATCAGAGCTGTTTCCAGAACGTCATGATGTGAAAGTTGAATAGAATTGATAAGATTGAGCGACCCTACCTTATCCCACTACTTGAATGGAACAGTGAAGAGAGGTGATTGTATGAGCTCACTCTATCTGAGGTGTTAGTATATAAGGCTTTCAAGATGTTTATAAACTTCTCAGACACACCCTTCTCCAACAGTCTTGTCCAACGAATCGAAGGCGGTCCTAATGTTAAGAAACACTACGATTTTTGGCCTGGGATAAATGTGATGATGTTCAAACATTTGGTGAAGGATGAAGATATGATCAATACACTCTCGATCAGAACGAAAACCAGCCCGTTGCTTGCGAGTCAATCTTTCTCGTGTTTTGAACAGCCTACGAAGTATGACGAAAGTTAATATATTGGACGCAATCGGAAGTAGACTTATCTCCCGATAGTTGTTGCAGAAAAGATGTGAACCCTTTTTAAAGATAGGGACAACTATCGACTCGTTCCATGACGTTTGAACACTTTCAAATTGCTAGACCTTTGTAAACAACTCAATCAGTTCCTTAGCCAGAAAGTCACCACCATCTTTAGAAAGGACTGAAGGTAAGTCATTTGTATCTGATGATTTGTAGCGCTTCAAGAGTTGTAGTTCCTCGAGGACTCCCGCCTCGTTAGATGGATCAGTCGTCACAAGTCATGGAGGGTAGGATAGTCTGACCGATGTTACCGATGCAGCAGACCAGTTGGACTGTTCCTCGAAAAACTCTACCCATCGTCCAACATGTCGGTAGATGTTAGTGACTGGCGCCCTGTCATCTTCACAGATTGTTTCACTCGCACCAGACTTCTTGCGGCTAGTGACTCGCATGAATAACCAGATGTAGCTGCTGCTTCTAACTCATTGGCACTCTCCAACCATCAGGCTTCTCGGTCTTTACGCAAGTTGTGCATAATTTCACTAAATAGTAGTCTTTGTTTGTGGTCAAACTCTTGGTCACCTGGAGTAGACCGACGGGATTCAGTGAGTTGTAATGAGCTTGAAGAATTCCAGTGCTTATAAGCGGGATGTTTCGTGAAGCCGCAAGCTACGCTACTCTCCATTTTCATGGCGTCATGCCACTGCACCCAATGCTCATCTATACTTCTCGGTGTAGTGGCAACTATCCTTGAACCTAGCTCGGTTTGATATTTAGTTGCAACAGAGGCTGTAACCATTTTTATTGAGATCGGTCCATGTAGGACGATAAATTTGTTCACTACTAAGACCTACGGTAAGATTAGCCCAAACAAAGGCATAATCAGTGTCCAGATATGCATCCCAAAAGGAGTGGCAGTCCTGTACATAACCACACCAGCGGTAGCTGATCGCAATGTGAGTTCAGGTTTGAGATGCAGAGGGAGGACGCCAGGTGATACATTGGCGATGACTGTGTCGAAAGTTAGTGCTAGCCAGAAACAGGTTGTAGTCATGATCAAGCTAATCTGTTGTCCGATCTGTATTAGTGTGCGAACGTTGAAGGAAGCCAGTTTGAATGGTATAAGTGATCTCAGGAAGACTGTTTCAATATTCGTAGTCGTTAATAGCATTCAACATTCGACCAGTCAGTGACTTGAGATCGTTTAGGCAGGACAGAGATTCCACCATAGGTGAGCTGCCGTACATTGAAAAATAAAATACACAGAATGAGAATGAAGGGGATTACACAAGTGACGTACTATAAAGAAATAAAAACGAATGTTATCAAACGGTTGTGAGTGGGGTTTGTCTGAATGTGAGTTGAAGCAAGGATAATTTTCCCGGTAGTAATCATCATTTTGTTTGTATGACGACTGTGGTGCTGTCCGGGTGCTCAAACCAAAACAGGTGATTTTCGTAGGGGGCCACACCCGGAGCCTTCGACGTGAAGATCTTATACACAAGGCGGTGGAGCAACGTTAAGAGGTGCAGTCCTACGGTGGCCAGTGATCGACAATAGGTTCATACTCCATTTGTTCCCTCAGGATCATGGAGCCTATGTTCACCATTGGTTTAGAATCAGGGTTTTCCAACTCCCCTAGGTTGATTCTCTGTAACCACCAACCCAGGTAAAGCGTTGGACATTCGCTTCTCGTTCTAGAGTGGATACTGCTCACCCTCAATCGTTCCAGGGCATTTGTGTAAATTGACTTTTGTTCACTTAAACAATTTTTCATCACTGCACTCCACTTTGAGTTTTTGTATGTTATATTTCGTGTCAAATAAGTTGACCTCTAACTGGTTGTTTAATGTGTATACTTCAGCAATTATTCAAATAAATTTACTTGTGTTCGCACGTTTAATTGTATCTGGTAGCTTATGTTCAAACTTACTATGTAACATTATCAATTGATATTAGTTACTCAAAGTCCTATGACAGAATTACTTCAGAGTGGAAGGTGTTTCATAATTTTACGATAACTTGATGAGGTGCAGTTCTTCTTTGTTATGCTGAATACTTTAGTTTTTATAGATAGTCAGTCCTAGCACTATTATATTATACAGTAAACTGTACATTAGCACAATAATTTTTTTGCGTTAATCGCATCAACAAATTATTTATCTTTTATCTCCATTTATTGATACTGAAATTTTCTTGTCATCTATTACACACAATACTATTAGGTCGATTGTTCAACTTCACACAACATACCGCCTAATACAATAAACAAACCATTATCAGGAAATGTTTCAACTCATCAGACATCCCAAACATGGCCATCTAAATTTATTCTGAATTCAACAGAAAAATTCAAAGTGATTCTACTATGTCTTAATTCAGACGTACTTGATAACCAAATTAAAGTAAGCTAGTATTTACGTAACTCTTATTTTGTTAGGAATTTTTTCTTAGAAACCTTAAAAACTTATATCTCGTATCTGGAATTTTTTTGTGCTGTTGATACTTACTGAACTCAATATAATGTATTCTGAAGCTTAAATCAGGCTTATGGGCAAGTAGTATGTTGAAACTGGTTACTTAGGTACATCGGAAGTAATTCTTGTTTTTCCTATCATTGTGTCCACGAATATCGATTAATCACTGAATGCTACAGCAGCTTCTTAGTTATAAACTACTCTAAAGACGCTTTGAATTGCAAGAAAAAGTACCGTACCCTATTAATTGCTTGAGTACAACTACGACAGTTTAGACAACTTCATCGAAACGGTATATACAAAAATGGAGTTGATTATATTTCCTTAATTATTAGCAGCTCTATCCAAAATATAATAGTTGGGAAATACATCAGAAGTTACTATATATGAGCTTGTACGAACAAAAATTTCATGAATTCCTTGATATTCCTTGCTATTTCTTAATTTTGTCAATAGACTGCTGTTCCCACATCTCAAAGCAAGAAAGCTGTAAAAAGTATTTCAACCTTTCGTTTTAACGGATTTCTAGTTTATGGTTCTATCAATTAAGAAGCATTTCTGTTTTACAACCAATCCTGTTTTTTTATTTTTGATACTGCTGCTCTGTAGGGAATTTACAACTCTGTACTATAGTTTTAATTCTATATACAGAGAAAAATGCCTTACTAACTATACTAATGTTGTATGTAACTGGCTATCTTTAAATAATGTTATATCCTAGCGAAAACATAACTACGGGTAATTTCCAGGACTTATTAATGGACTATTATTCTATATATATTCTTATTGTTTAACTATTGAGTAATTAGATTATGTATATCTATATTCATCTTATTATAAGCTTCATTTTGACCTATGAATTATTATTATACGATTTACTGTCCCTAAATTATATTCAGTTTATTGATTATTGTATCCCACGTTCACAGCCACATTTGACTTGATCCTGTACAAATATTTCTATTTTGTGGTGTGATGCCGTCTGTCTGTCTAGTATATAAACCGAGTGTGCTTGAAATAAATGACTCGCACAGCAGAAGCTGCAATTGGTGCTCTGGACACAATTGGAAGGGCTGTGCAGCCAAGAGACCAATAAGGACGCTAGACTGCTCATACCAGTTGAGCGTCATTGATTTGGCACAGTGTTAAGATTAGACAAGTCGTATTTCAATTGGTGGATAATTCACGTAATCTAAGCCGGACACAAGCTTTGGGCGTCCAAACTAAAGCATAGCATCATTCCATAATGTCGTTGACGATTAGACTGAACCATGTTAATTGTTGTAGATTACCTAGTTGGGGTCTGTGTGATTGCCGTAACCAATGTTTAAAGACTTTGAATGACATAGCTCAAAATTGCTTGCAATGACCCAAGTGCATCCACTCTTCGTCCTCTTTAGATCTCAAGTTTCTAAAGTTTTAACTTTTTCATATTTCACCAATTTAAATCTTCTCAAATTATATCTTTGATGGTTTAGCTTTTCTATTATCATTAATACTGTTGTTAATTCTCCTCTCCTGGTATTTTGTCTAGCAGTTTCATCTCTCTATGCTGATAGGATGTATGAAATATAAACCGATGTATATACGTACCAGATTTCTCGCTGCAACTAACTCGTTAAGTGTCCGAATGTTTCAAAAAATTTTGAAGGATAAATACTTATCGATATATCCACATACAAATTTTAAGGCAACCTGGTTTTCTATAGTTTTCCGTTCATAAATCGTGGTCAAACCGTCTGATAATTATGATGCTGATATTTTAGAAATTATGTTGGTCGAACTACTACATTTAATACAAGAGGATTTCTACTCTTGTTTATGAAATGGACAACCAGTGATTGGTACCATCCAGATAGAATTCAGTCAGTCAGTTACAACGTAGAACTTCGTACGTCCGTACATCAGTTCGAGTTGCCATACCACATTAGCACAGAGATGCAGTTGTCGATTCAAATCCTATAGTGGTAGAGGTAGTATGAGTATAAGCAGTAATCCGAAAGATTAAGGTTTGAAAATGTTATTCAAGGAGTATAATACATTGAAATAAATTTGGAAAGAGAAAAAGGATACGGACATGAAGAATTCAGAAGATTAGAATTTGGTAGAACACAAGGAGTGTATGCATCTTCGCCATTGCAAACGATTTTGAGCCATGTCATTCAAGGTCTCTAACCATCGGTTGCTATCATCTTGCGAACCCCAACCAGGTAGTCTACACCTACCAACATGGTTCAGTCCACTTGTCAGTAACTTCATGGATTTATGCCATGTTTTAGTCTGGCCGCCCCTAGCTTTCTTCCAACCTGCTCCTACACCATAAAACATTGCACGTCATGGCAGTCGGCGGTTGGGCATACGTAACACATGTCCCAGCCATCTCAACTGATGAAGTTTCACTACTTCATCAATCGACTTTGCCATCCTTACCTAGTACCCGTTTCATAACAACAACTGCATTACTTACCCGGTGGTCCCAGGATATACGAGCAATGCGTCGAAGACACCTATGATCGAATACTAATAGCCTACGAATATCTTCTACTCTTATCGGCCATGTTTCACTGCCATAAAATAGGACGGAACGAACTGCTGCGTAGTAAACCCGTCCTTTGGTTGTTTGACGGATATCTCGCCTACGCCATAAATGGCGCAAGTTGGCGAAAGCTAGACGAGCCTTCTGTATCCGTGCTGAGATTTCGTCACACACACCAGACCACAAGGGCTGATCAGACTCCCAACATAAGTGAAGCTGTCAACACGCTCAACTACTTCACTCCCTATCATTAGTTCAGGTGTCAATGCAACCCAATCCTGAAGTAACATTTTGCACTTCGAGGGAGAGAATCGCATCCCGAACATGCCTGCATTGTTGCTTATGGTGGTCAGAAGACTCTGCATTTTGTCAGCGTCTTCACTGAATAAAACTATGTCGTCGGCGTATTCTAAGTCAACAAGTGAATCTCCTGGTAAAAGTTCAACTCCTGGAGATTGAGATGATGAAAGTGTTATCTCCAAAAGCATGTCGACGACAAACTTAAACAAGAATGGGGAGAGTGGACAGCCCTGACGAACACCACTTGAGGTAACCAATTCTGATGACAGTTCGCCATAGACTCTAACTCGACCAGTTGTGTTCGAGTAGAGAGCCTTTATGAGGTTAATGTACTTCTTTGATACTCCTTTCACTGACAAACACTTCCATAGAACCTCGCGATCAACGGAGTCAAATGCCGCCTTAAGGTCAATAAATACTACTATTGTGGGACGACTGAATTTGTGTCTATGTTCTAGAACCTGACGTAGGGTGTATCGAGATGGTTCTTTATTTTGATTAGGTGAGGTCAAATGAATGACACTACTCGGATCTTGTATGCGCGTTTCGGAGACGCAGCACACATCGATGGTGTAAGATTCTAGAGTCCTAGCTAAGGAAGCCTGTTGTTCTATTTTGCACAATGTTCGGACAATAAAAGTTCCTATATGTAGTTTGGAGGGTGGTTTCAGGAGACCAGGAATAACGTTCGGTGTACTTGAGTCGTTTGCCCTAGCGGTGCGAGGTGATAAAAGGACGTGGGAAGGATTAGTCGTGGAGATAAGAGAGTTATTAGGAGTAGGAAGGATTTGAAAGTGACCGACTTGGTCTCGTGTGCTGTTACGGGTATGAGGGCTAATATCACTTCCCGGCTGCCCACACCGTGGAAGGGTATTTCTTGAGGGACCTGAAAAAGAAGTCGGATTAGTGTTGGTCTTAACGACCTGGGAGCGTGACCGCAGTGCCCAAGGGACAACTACTTGAGGTCGGTCACGCACGGCATTTTTGTGGGGGACTTTTGACGTGTTAGCTCCGTTCTTTAAAGGACCTTACCGCCAGAGACGGAAATCCGTGGGATAAGTTGAGGTGTGCATTTTTAGGGTCGACCTTTTCTAACCCCACACCTCTGTACAGTCGGCAGTACGACTTCGCCTTCGGACATTGGGATTGCTGCTTTTAGTCTTACCGCTCTTCAACCGACCTGTCTGGCTTGGTAGGACCTCGAGTAACGATTGTTTCAGCCAGCATAGCTCGATTGCTTCATCACGATAGGCAAGCCCGACCACCACGTCAAGGTAGCAGCAACGGTCGGGGTTGAATGTCATTGGTTCGGCGCAGTGTTAAGATTAGACAAGTCGTATTTCGATTGGTGGATAATTCACATGGCAAACGCCGGACATAGATTCATAACGAATTGGCGACGGCCTTTTATAAAGTCACAACAAATAATATTTTGTTTTCACCGACATATAATTTTCGATTAGATCAGGCGATTAGATTGATGCAACAAATTGCATCAGTTACTGTCGGTTATTGTGTGATTTTAAGGACGTACATGGGACCTTAAACAAAACTTTTGAATTTCTATGCATCTTTTGGTGATTACAATGAAAGAATAGAGCCATATTAAAATAAAGGAACAAGTACATTTATTCTTAATTTCCATTTATATCGATTGTTTACTTCGTAAAATGTAACTTTCATTAATATCCTTTTTTACACCAGGTTGATTCAATTCATTTATGTTTATCACCACCTATGGTTAACTGTTATGAAGACGTTATTGGTGAATTGATATTGTGTACAGTTTCATGGCAATGGAATACAAAATCAGATTATCATCCTTATCTAAGTGGTCGTAAAACTATTGGTCATAAACATCCTAATCCAAAGAAACAACTTAATCTGTTACATGATAATGTAAATAATGTAAATAATTGTGGTTTATGGTGCAAAGAGGTTGTTCTTTCAGTACCAGAACGTCGAATACAGAAAGACTCTCTTAAAATTGAATCTAATGGATTCATAATTAATCATGAATTTCCTAACCTCCCACCAGACTGGGATATTGTTGATAGTCGAATTCGAACAGAGTAAGTTTTACGTGTTCCTAATTAATTACTTAACGCATAGTTGATGAATTCGCATCATGGAATGGTTAAGTTATATTATAAGAAATCAAAATTATCAAAAAAATACTATCAATTTCTTTTATTATCCATTTTTTCGATTCTAATAGTTGCTTTGAAATGCACCTTCAAATAAAGTTCCGTTTTCTTCTAGGCGATGCTTAAATGTATCTGACTTATGATTCATGCTCAACTGACACTGAAGATATTCTTAGCACATATCCAAGCCATCAAAGCCGGTGTTTCAAGATGATGGTACTAATTAAGTTATCGTTGCTAAACCCTAATACGCATAGTAAAATCTGACATTGCCACTGGACATCAGCAGTTCTTTGCAGACGACGTCGATTGAACACATAGTCACCAAATGTCTTTAACTCACAGAGGCTTGGTTCCTCAAGCATAAACCTGAATTGGTCCCACTAAGACGTAAACACGACGTTTTACAGCCAGACCAATATCGTGTTGGCACCATCATTTGCGATTAATGCATGACCTTCAATATAAATCTTAAATCGGTCAACAGCTAGTAACCTTATGTCTTAATTCAATTTAAAATGATTTGGATTTTCGCATTGTTGAATTTTGGACTGAAATTAGATCAATCTTTGTTGGCATATGTGCATCCTATATGCATTGCTTCGATATAGCCATTATGAATATAGAATAGATGGAATGTGGCCAGCAGTAGATAATGCGGTAGCCTTCCAAGCGAACGTCAACTCTGAGATGCAGGTAAATCCAGCTGACGAGTCCTGAATAGGACGAGACGTGCACCTTATATCCCACTGTTAGCCACATTCCATGTATTCTACAACAACAAGTTGGTTTATGCTACTCATGTCTGTCGAAATAAGTGGAATTCCTGGCAGCAGAAGGTTGAGATCGAATTGAACAGAACGGGAATGTAAACAGAGATTAATAGTAATAGCAATGAAGAAACGATGAAGTTTGAGATAATTGATAGAAGATTTGCAAATGAAGTACTTTATATATCATTTTACACATTTTTACGAAAGAACTCTGTAATCATGCATTAAATAATAAATTGATCTTCCCCATCTGAGTGTTGGTTCACTACAGGTACATACAATATTTGTTGTTTTCCTCCAAATGATTACAAATTTATTACATTATTCAGTGATTAACATTCAATGCACTTTTCACCTGTTCAAGTTATTTTTTCAACATTTAATTACGTATTATGTAGAATGCATCATCCACCTTCCGGTTTAGAAATCACTATGCCCGAAAATGTTTGTATACTAGCGAATGAAATTTCTCAAATAAATTTAACTATTCGCAATCCAACGCTGAGTGACTGTACTAAACTTAAGTAAGTTTTATATTTTATGTATATTCAAATAACTACCTGTCTTGTTACTAAGGTTCAACAACTGTTCATAATCACAATTTTAGATTATTTTCATTTGTCATAAACCTATTGTATTGCTGTGGTTGATGTCTTTTTTTGCTTATTTATGAGATTCAAACTCATTTATATTGGCTTATTACATAATTTGTTTGAAATATAAAACTAATATACCTGAACAGCAAATCTCTTGTCGATTATTTCTTAGATTCTCAAATGAATTTTGTGTGATAAGACAATCCAAAATAGTGAGTATATAGAATCGTATATTCGTCGTATGGTGGTTTCTCAGATGACAATTCCATTTATTGTATACTTGATCTTACAGTTGTCGATATTCTCAGTGATCATTTATCATCATCTGTTTCTGTGCGCTTTATGGAAAGCCAAAATATGTAGAAATACTGATGTTATAACTCTTGGTTTTCCACGTCAACACAAATGGGACGTTAATTTGCCTTAGACGAATATCGACACTAGATTCCCTCCTAGTTTCTGTTCTACAGGACGTCAACACAATCCAGACCGAGAACACATGATTAGCCTAACTAGAACATAAATATATTTCCACACCAAAAACCGACAACAATTCAACACAATCAATAATAATAAAGATAAGAGAATATATAACTCATCTAACGTCTGTCATACTACTTACAAGTCTGACTAAACAGACAACCAATCATTATCATTCTCGCTCACACATCAACTTTTATATCTGACCGAAATTGAATGGTCCTTGTAATCCATAGGTTTCTTAGATCTTTCAATGTATTCGTAGACCTAATACACAAGCGTTTAGTGTTTGAAAGACCAATGTTTCTTTTCAAATGAGAAACGTTTTTGTTCTATACGAAATTTTTCTGGACCCATGTGTGTGCTCACTAACACGTAGTTTCATAAGTCTTGGCAATCATGTCCAATTGTATTTTTTATTGGAAATTTACTGACTGATACCAAGGTATGGTAGATGCAGAAGTCTTGTTACTTTTGTCATTCATTGACTTATACTTCCATCAGTTAAACTATTCTTATAAACTTATCAGTTTTTGAAATAGAAACATGATTAGTGTGTTGTTTTGTTTAATAAATTTCATATGTCTCTACTATTGCAACCTTTAAAATATTCCGTAAACAATATCTCTTATTAGAACATTTTTTGTAAATATGATAAAGTTTAGTTGTATTCGATGTGAAATTTCCCAATCTTAACAAGATTTTAAACCTCGACTTTTTTTCCAAAATATCTGTAACTTAAGTTGTTTGTTTTTATATTCCTAGTTTAACTGTCCGTTTAATTCCGAGAGAAAAAGATTCAACCGAATTTCCTGACAATGCTTGTAATACTTCTACCACTGTATCAAACACAACAGTGACTACAAATCCAACTGTAATAGACAATTATATAGTAGTTGGCAGTTCATCTGAATTAATATCTCATATATCAACTAAAAATATTAATTCATCTCAAAAATCAAGTAGTGCATATTTTATAAAGAAGTTAGACGATATTCCATCAAATCAATCTATATCTGTGACGATTTCATTATGTTGTTCATCTTCTTCGTTAGTTTCTAGTAATAATCTAACACTTTCATGTTATTTAACTTTCTCTACTAAAATTTTACCTTGTGAATATCCCGATTATTTATTATCATTATCGGATTCATTAACAACAGAAACACCATTAGTATATAATGTTATACATGAATCTGTGAAATTATCTAATAACATGGAGCTGTCAAATGTAGATAATCACCTAGTTCAAAATGTAATCGACCAAAATGCAATGGTAATTCAATGTACTCAGAATATTGAAACTAATTTAACTATCTTGTCACCATTTGAATTAGACTATAAACTACTTTCCTTAACAGTAAGTATTTTTTTTGTTATTATGTTTAGTATTACCACAGTTATTTTAAATTAGTTCCATATGTGCATTAGTTGTAATCATAAAACACCATCTATTAATCTGAATCTCAAACAATCCAAACTAATTCTACTCATACATTTAGTTCCTTTTATTATCTTGTATGGTGCATGAACAAAGAATTGAGCAGAATAATATGAATTTATTTTATTGCGAAATATGGATAAAGCCACTGAGATTTGAGGCTTTTATTATCTGGTTTGTAACTGACTGATTTCAACTCATGATATTCTTAAATGTTATTAATTTGTGTTGAGCTACTTCATTATGTAATCAATTAATTAGTTGTTACTATGTTTGATGATGCAGAATCTTCTCTTGTATATTATATTCATTTACATCACTCATTGTCTTTGCTCTCATTCTTTCATCATGATGATACAATAATTTCGATTTTAAATATTATAGGTTGTAAGCAGAAGCTGATCAAAACCAATAAGATAAAGTGAATTCATGTTCTTCTGCTCAATTTTTTGTTCTTGCTCTATTGCTACTTATCTATTTTGTGAATAAATTTATAAAGTTCTACTGATGTCAGTCATCACACTAGAAATGATTATGCTGAACGTCTCTACTTATTTTACTTTATATGTGTCTGTTACACTTCGAAACGAGATAAATCTATTGTTTATATAAAAACGTGATCAGATTAGAACTTGATTCCAATTAGGAAATAAGTAATAAAATGCAGAAATCCCTATTAGCATTCAATCTTAACCACTCTCATTGATCTGAATGTGCCATGTGAGTTCTTGTAATACTATTTGCCAATGAACAACTTATCTGATAAATATTATACTCTTAATCCAGTGATTCTCAATCGTTATAAGACCGATAACAGGTTACTATATGAAACGGTTATTTAAATTGGTATTGACTCAGAATATCACTATTTCCGATTGTTATTCAGTTTTTATTGTCTAACCTATTTCTTTGATGTGAACAAATATGAATCACATAATATTTTCGGATGAAGTACTTCACAACTTTATTTTTCTGAGCGCCAAAATTCAGAACCTTGTATTAGAAGCAATCAACATAGATGTCTTATTTGACAAAAGAAAAAATAAGTGGTTTAAAGGATTCACTTCATTATTTATTTTGACCCATTGATAATTAACATTGATTTGATGCGGAATCGAACGATGCATCTAGCTTACTTTATCTCGAATCTTAAACCTTAGATCTTGCTTGCGTCCAGTGCTACCATTAAATTTGTTCTGATAACTGGAGTAGGTGTCAACCTGATGATTCCTCATTCGGTTATTTATACGATCATAATTTAAGTAACAAATATTACGAACATAAATGGGATGACTATCTCCAGTGTTTGTTTTCCTATTTCATTTTTTTAGCAAAATCCTATTAAAAGTCTCATAGTTAATACCGAGTTTTTGTTATTGTTCAAGTTAACTAATACAGCTGATTGTGAACTGGAAATACATGATATACAGTTGGAAGTGGTAAGTCGATATTTCTTGTACCTAATGTACCAGTTATATATATATATATATATATATATATATATATATATATATATATATATATATATATTACCACCATTAAAGTACCCGATCGTTGCTGCTACCTTGACATGGTGGTCAGGCTTGTCTGTCGTAATGAACCAATCGAGCTATACTGGCTGGAACAATCTTTCCCCAAGGTCCTACAATGTCAGGCAGGTTGGCTGAAGAGTAGTAAGACCAAAAGCAGCAAACTCAAGGTACGCGGGTGAAGTCTAACTGATGACCGTACAGAGGTGGGACAGCAGTAAGGTTGTTTACATCAGAAAACCTATGCTGCCTTCTCAAAAGGAAGAATGAAGTTAGAAAAGGTTAGCCCTCGAAATGCACACCTCACTTTATCCCATGGATATCCGTTCATGGCGGTAAGATCCCAGCAAGTACGAAGCTAACACTGAAATTACTCACAAAAAGGTCAAGCAGTTGTCTCTTTGGCACTGAGTTCACGCTCTCAGGTCACTAAGATTAACCCAATTTCTTTTACAGGTACCTCTAGAAGAACCCTTCCACGTTGTGGGCGACCGGGAAGTGATAACCGCCCTCATACCTCTAACAGCACTCAAGATTAACCCTCGAAGTAACTAATTCTATGAATTTGGTATTCATCTTGTTGGGCTAATAAGATATGACAACTTGAACCGATGCATATACATGTACCTGGTCGTACGTTGTAGCTGACTGACTGATATAACGCCTGTTTTGTAATATATGTCTCTTCATCATTGGAGATGTATATTCTTCAGAAGTGAATATGTAAGCACTGTACTGTATATGAACAGATTTATACACATATTCAATGCCTTAATAATTATTTTCAGGGGTCTTGCTAATATTTTCATTCACATAAATTGTATTTTAGGCTAATGAGATATCGTGTGCCAGTGACCTTCATAGTACATGCATCAAAAATTGTAAGTTCAAGTAACTGTCTTTGTAGATTTTTATTTTTATTAATAACTAAACTTGATTTTCTTCATACACATACTCTTACAATTTATAATCATTGTATATCGGTAGATTTATTTCTTTCATTTATGCAGCGGTTAGATTTGATACCTCATGTTTGAATGCTTGTTCAAGGATACAGCAATTACTTTCAGTGTCATTCATTTTTTCGGTATATACTTCTCATTTGCATACTTACAAGAAAGCCAAAGCGGATACGTTTATGGTGTTCGAATAATAAAAGATAATAAAACATTTTGAAAATATTTACCGAAAAGACACTTAAACAATAACTATTAATTATCTGATATGTCCTGATCAAAAAACCTTAATATACTGAAATCTAATGTTGTGTAACCGACTATCACGAAACTACCTTACGTAGAACAAAACAAAGACTTATATACTGTTTCGAAAGATAAAAACGACTGTTTATAAGTTTCTTTCAAATCCCCTATGTGTATTCTAAGCGATGTAAAATTATTGCAGTGTTATTAAACTTGTGTAAGTTTGTGAGATGCCTATTAAAAGAACTAAAAACTCCAAAGTTTAGGTCTATATTTCGCTTGTAACAGAACATTTATGCAGGGTTTTAGCAAAGAAATTATGAAATCAATGATCTTATTAGTAATAATGAGTATCAGCGTCGCTGCAATAAGTAATGCGATAGTGCGGAAACTGAAGAAATTATGTTTCTTAGAATTTCTTTTAGATGATCTAAACACCAGTCAGTTGCCTCCTTGATGTTTAAAACTTTAAAGCCGTTCTTTTAGTTATATAAATACAATAGAGATATTTAAGGAATTCAGTGATAAACTGAAATGACCAAAACAATTACTCACTGTTCTAATTGATTTTCTGTTTATCTGTTGACTGAATATACGTAGTAATGACATTTATTTATTCTTTAAGTCATTTTATCTATAATAAGTTAGGTTTTTTTATTGGTATAACAACAATTCATTAAAATTATTGGTTTTTTCTAATTTCAGTGATTATCCAATCCTCAGAAAGTTGTACTGAATGTCACATGTTGTTATTAACAGAAACAATGTACTCACTCGAAGCAATAAATTTAGGCTCTATTATCGTTCATTGGTCACGGTCAGTGTATTATATATATATATATATATATATATATATATATTTTTATACCTTGTGTTTCATTAACAAATCTATTTAACCTAATTATGTCGTCTAAAAATAGGAATTTTTTCTTTATAGGAAATCATTCTATAATTGATAAATGAAGATATATTTCTTGGTGAAACGAGAAGTGCAACTTTCTTCTTCATAAATAAAGAATTTCTTAGATATAAAATCCTAAAAATTCCCATGTTGTAAATCAGAACAACATATATAAACGAACGATACTTTTTTTCAATTAGATCCTCATCAGGCTTTACTCTAACATATAGTAATATTTATATGCATATATGAAATTATAAAACTAGCCAAGGCAGTTTATAAGTCAGTGATAACAGTAGAATAGATTACAAAAATAAGCGATAAATAAAGAGTACAATTTGGTAGTACTAGTTGGAATAACAAGGGCTAAAATCTATATTTCATAATGGGAAATACATCAATGACACGAAAAAGTATAGATGCTGAAATAAAATTCATAAATACTATAAGGTTACGCAATAAAAGTGTTGAGATAATTGGACAATGAAGCGTATATTTCAATAAAAGAAGGCTGAGGAAATTGAATAAAAACAAGCTTAAATATTAAATTCATTTAGTATTGTTTGTGCCATCGCACAAGCAAGTGGCCATCAGGACTCAGTGACCGAGTGGATAACGCGATGGCGTTTGAAGCGAAAGTACTGGGTTCGAGTCCCAGAGTGAACATCAACTCAGAGATGCAGTTACATCCAGCTGACGAGCCCCAAATAGGACGAAACGCGCGTCAAACTGGATTCCACTGCTAGCCACTACCCACCTCTGCTTACCAAGGTTAAATATTGTATGCATTTTCGAGTAATATTTTCGGTAAAACATAAAAAATGCTTTCATAAACCGTCTGATTTGTTAACTTCCGGTGTCCCGGCAACATTACCAAAGTAGATTGCCGTTCTTCTAAGTAATTTTCGAAATTATTTCAGATTATCCCAACGTACATTTATTTGATGTTGCTAAATCAAAATTTTAAGAACTGCTGTGTGGTATACTAAAAAACCAATAATCATTTTGCTTTTTTTAGTTTTGATCATTACAGTTTTCTTAGTGTGACAACTAAATAGTGAACACAATGTTCATAATCATACTTGGCCTCCTTAATAATACTCTTTCACCTAGTTGCATTAAAAGTTAATGCAGTCAGTGTCACTGTTTTTCTAAATAGAATAGGATTTGTGATGTTTTGTCGTTAGGATGTCCAGTCCCTGTAAATTAAAACTTCATATAATTCTAGAAACGATGCACACTTCATGCTTATTCAGGTTTATTTAATAAATTATCGTTCCTTATATCTTGTTGAGTATCTTAATGCTTTTGCTGTCAATGTGATGAAAAATGTAAAACCTCCTTGTTCTCAGAATATTATTTTCACCGAATTTAGAATATAGAATTCATGTTCATATGAATTCAACCATTCATTCATTTTTATGCAGTATGTTGAATCAATCAGACATAGACCAAATGATAAGTGAAAAATGTTGACAGACTCGTGCTACTGGTTGAAAAGGTTGCTTCATTTCTTGAGGGAAAAAGACATATTTATGAGTCGTACAAGTACTTTTGATTTGGTTAACCTTTAAAAGCTTAGTACACTTAGTTTCCTCACTCAAGTACCCGGTTTAGACATCCATATTGGAAACTTTTATATCAGTAGCAAACTCTGACAACGTCAATACATACTAGTATGTTTACTAAATTGAAGTAGAATGAATACTTCTAGATAGTCCATTTCTTCTCTTTCTATATATATATATATATATATATATATATATATATATATATATACTCAGTCATTCGTACACAACTTTTCTCCTGTCTTTTTATAGTGCATCAACACGTAATGATGATTATATAAAACCGTATATTGCAACGACGAAATTCGCCTTACCGACTATTCCAGTTTTGTCTTTACCTATTCAAATTAGTGCAGAACTTCCAGCTTATGGTGTTATGCTCACTCCATTTCCAGTCACATTTATTTTATCTAACAAAACTATTTATCCGCAGGTATTTCGAAGACTAAATTAATTTTTTTGTCACGTATATAATACTCATTTAAATCTAATTTGTAATAGTTATTCATCTAAAGAGAATAAACTTATTAGTAAATCTACGTTATCGGATGGCATACATATACAGTCGAGACGGTAACTCAATCTACACACGGTTCAACATAAATGTATTTAAAGTGATTTCGATAAACAATGTTTTATCAACAGTATTCTGGCCGCAACATTGACTGTTTTAACTCAGGCGTGATTTTTGTCACTTAACTCTATTTCAAGCCATCTAGTCCACAGTCTCATACTTACTCTTCTATCTCTTACAAGCCAGTTATACACGAACATGTTTTTGTTCTGGAAATTAGATTGGGATTTCATTGTTCACTAATGTTAAATTTCTTTTGCAAAGTGATCGATGAATGCGTTGAAACAAATAAATACTGGAAATGAAAGTAATTCACGATCGAAGTATGTCATTTTTATCTGATGTTTATCTAATGCAACTGAGAACAACTGTATTTTCGATAGAATCTCCCATAAGAGATGAATGACTTATTCCAACTAAAATAGTTTCGTAGTTAATACTGGTGATTTCATTGTGTACATATAGAAATGATGTATCCAAAAATATGCCGCGTTTAAAACAGACTACTTATATGAAATAAGTAGTAAGAATCATGAACCTATTTTTTAATGTGTGTAAAATATGTATATCTTTTGTCACTCATAATCATTAATTTTATAAAACATCTTTGAGTTGGAGTTCCAATATAAGTTTTGCAACCATTTAAATATAAATCTAAAAGTTTCATCTGGTTTCATATATGTTGAGATATTTAATGCTCTGTACTTATCAACTTATGTATTAAACAACTATATTTCCACTGTTTCCGAAACAACAGTTAATCGTTCAGTTTTAATTCTGCTTAGTTTTGTCCCAATACTCAAAAAATTGCCATTCCGCTTTATATATATAGAGAGACTTTTTTATCTTGACCTTGGAGAAGATTTGTAACTGAGGTTGATGATTTTTGTGGAATTTCGTTCTTTGAGCTGGATGGTGTAATCATAAAGCCTTTATTGTTCTTCTTTACATCATAAGCTTCAGGCAGAAGTAAGGTACTCCCTACGTAAGACTAACAGCTTGTCCTGTCGACTTCGAAAAGCCCACTTCTACCTGAAGCTTATGCTGATGATGTTCTGAAGAACGATGAAAGCTTTACGATTATACCGTCGAGTTTAAAAAATGAAACTCCATCAAAATAACCTTGATGTACTGTTGCTTGTGACGTTTTCTCCATAGAAGAAATTGGCAACGTTTTAATGCACTCCACTTGGAAATCATGAAGGTAATTTTGTAAATGTAGCCGTGTCAGTGAGTCGGATCACTCAATTGATTATAGATATTCGTCAATCTTATTGATGGGTTCTAAAAATATCGGGCGAAACTGTGCAATTTTACCTTTCAGTACACAAATGTATAATTCATAACTAATTTCTATTTCGTAAAAAGAACGAATCGAGCGAAAAAATTTCCTTTAAATTAGTTTTTCATCTTGGCTTTACGCTAATATACATATGTATAATTTACAACAATGAAATAATAATATCAAGTAGTTACGTTACGTAACAATTAAGAAGAAATTTCTTCACTCGATTTGTCGAAATGAGGATTTTCATTGTAATATCTGTTTGTTCCTTTTTCATTCTTGGGTTCCTCACTTTTTTATTCACCAAATTAGGAGGCTGTTTTTCAATTAGAATCGATTCATGGTTTTATGTTTTCTGGTCAACAAAAGCTGAAGGTACGATTACTGCCTGACTCACCGCACTATTTGAATTATACACTACTTCCATTGATGTCTGGGAATTTGAAGTTGCCTCGGTAATTTTAATCACTGCTTTTCAAATTGATTAAAAATAAAAATAAATTAATTTTAAAGTTTTCTATATGTGTATTCATAAATATGCTCTTCATCATTCCTTTAGTGTACCAAACTATTCTATGATGCCATCTTGATATATGTTTTACAACATGGTGTTGCATAGTAAATATTTTGGTAAGGCAAATAGATTATACCTTTAAAAATTTTTTCCTTTATTGTTTATTATTAAGGAGGTGAAATATGACATTTTTCCTGTAAAATATATTATGGTTCATTCTATCTAAAATACATATGTATTTATCAGTTTCTAGAATAGGAAATTTCCTATTGATCCTAATACTTGATTTACTCCATTAATATGTAATCTATCTGATAAATGTTTTCAAAATTGAAACCCTACTATTGTGTGCAGATTTTAATAATTAACTGTAAACCACGTCTCTTATATCTCGGCTTACGCTGCTCCCCGATCTCTAAAATACTTTTAAGTTTGGTCGCAGCTCATTGGTTATAAATAAGTTTGTTTAATGACATATAGTTATTGGGTCTTCGTGTTATATAGATTCTGTTAACTTAAATGTTCAAAATATCTAGAACTAAGATCTTGTAGGTTAGTAGTGAAAGCTTGTATACACCACAATTTTTAACTGAAATCATATAGTTGGATGAGACGTACGTACAAACCATGGACTTGGATTTTACACTAGCTGTCAGCCGTCAAAAGGGCATATTCGCAGTGTTGAGGCAGCTAAAGTTCCTCATCAGGATTCAAACTGGTCTCATATATATTTCCGTGGACTCATTTGGGCTGTTACTCACCTCTTGTAGAGTTAAGGGAATTTACACTAACTAACCACCTGATTGGTAGTAAACAATATCAGTTTGTTTAGTCTTTGGTGCCAATCTTCACTTTCGTTATCCTAATAAATGTTAATCAAGCAAGACGTCTGTTTATCCATATGATTTTATAGTCGAAGTTATCTGCTAATTTAGTTATTTGCTCGAAAAAAACTTGATGCTTCTCTCCATTCATTTTTACATGTTCTTTCAATATGGTTAGAATCGAATAGTATTAGTTCAGCAAACGGTAAACTTTTATTCATTGTTTCACTAAATTACAATAACCATACCGTCATTTCGTTGTGTCCAACATCTATCAGCATGCAGTTATACATTAAGATTATGAATCTTGAGTGATACTTTTCTTCGGTCACAATACCATTGTAATACTCTGACCATTAAAATTTTACGCAGTAATAATGACTTTCAAAAATAAGCCTATACCTCACTCATTCGTTTATTTGAAGCTCAGTGTCTAAAGCCGTATATGGTAAATAAGTTACAGTTATCACATCTGGCACATCTTTGAGTTATGTTCACATGTTAAATATTCCTTAACTAATACAAAAAATTTACCTATTCCTTGGTTTCCAATGAATTTCCTATCGATGTTATTTTTTTAATAAAAATTACATCTCAAATCTTTTATTTATGTAAAAGCTTGTGTGTTCGTATTTTACTAAATGATGTTTATTATTGGAAATTTTTTTCACAGTTTACATGTTATATTAGAACGTTATACTACGTTATCATCAAACACGCAAAATGATCAACCCGATATACATATACAATTAGAAGAAAATCTCCTACGACAAGTTCCAACACATCTGATAGTAATTGTAGGTTGTTAAAATTTTTGTCTTTGTTATACACTTATTTGTATACAGTTGAAATCATGAATCAATTGAAGCTAGACCACCATGGAAAACCTGAAAGCACTGGACGGCTGTCTCGTCCTATTGTGGGACTCCTCAGCAGTGCGTGGATCGTGGATGCGCACTGTTGAGGAGTCCCACAATAAGACGAAACAGCCGTCCAGTTCTTTCAGGTTTCTCACGGTGGTCTAGCTTCAATTGATTCATGATTTCAACTATATACAAAAAATTACTAAAAATCTCCCATTATATGTATAATTCCAATGTATTCGCACTAGTTTTTCACAGCTGAATTTTCTTTGTGTTTCAAGGCTATATTAATTTTTAAGAGGATGAGGAAGTCAAAGGTACTTACTTACTCCTGTTACTTCCAAACGAGCGTAGACCGGAAATCACAGATACAAATTATTTCTGTAACTTGTTTTGATCATTCCTATCTTGAACTAATTCTTAAGTAAATGCTTCCCTTAATAAATTTAACTTGGACAGTCATTGAAATTTTTTAAATTGACTCATTCTTCAGATACTTAGATATCAGCCGCATATATATATATATATTAGTTAATCGAACTTATTGTTAATGATTTATATTGTCACTCGGCCACCATTATTTCTTTTTCTTTTTTATACATCCGACTATCCTAGAGGTTTGTCCAAGTGTAGTTTAAACACGTGTATAGAATATCTAAACATGTTGCATATCGTTGTACGCATATATTTTAAATTTATTCACAAATACTAATGACATATATTTTATTGATTTGTTTATGTTTCCTAATATCTTCTGTTATTCTTGTTTACCTACTTTATAAAGCCATCAACGGATGGATTGTTTGAATCATCTGAGAAAAATTCAATATTCAGTCGCGAAGAGATTAAAAATGTATAATATGATATATATTTCTTAAAATATTCTATAACTTGTTTCAAATGTTTTAGTTACCTTTTTAAAAACAAAAAGTAAAAATGAGCTTATTTCATTTGTTTGTTCTAAGTAACTTGCTATTCCTTGACTTTTTTGTTTATTATTAATATAACAAACCATGAATACCTTAATTTTTACTTTCAGTAATGAATCCTCCAGAACTTTCGTTCCATCTCTTTCTTTTTTTATTCTTTGCAATTGGAAATGTATCATTTTTGGAATGTTTTTTTGTATCATAATTTCTTTATTTCCTTATAAATAAGTTTAAATTTTTTTTAAAGTTCGTCCACTTTTTTATTTCATTAGTGGATTATTTGAGATTTCGGTCGCTATTATCAACTTTCCCCCTACTGTAAGATCCATAGGTATATATTGAAATCGCACATGGAAAACAACTTTTTATTCAACACGGTGCTTTAGTATCGATCTATTGTTGGCGAAATACTAAAACTGATCGACAGCTTCTAATGTTGAAGTTTCAGAATTTTAGAGATCTTGTATTCTTTGAGAAAAATGACTAATTTGTGAAACGTTTACTGCCTTTGTAGGCAAAGGAAATCAGATATTAAAATTTCTTCACAAATGTCTGTCAGCTTGTTCTGTTGACATGTGTTTTGCTGAGTTCGTCTTTTTAATTGTGCTGTTGTTATCACCACACTAATTTTCATTATCTCTTCTTGTGATTTGATATGTGACTGCGTAGTTGTTAAACGTCCATGTTCTCGTCTGATCAACCGGGTCTACTTCAATTTGTTTATTGATTGATGACTAAAAAGTGTAACATATTTTTAAAAATTGCAGTTAAGTTAGTGTTTCCTCTGTCCAATATTCCGACATTTTCTCAGTTGCACTAATGTCTATAGTTGTCCACGTACATTTGTACAAGTGGAGATATGCAGTTGTGTTTAACAGACAGATAGTGCTCACCTATGTCTCGTAGTATAATTTAACTATTTTTCTTGTAAAACTTGACCTCAGGAATTCCACAAGTACAGTTTTCTTAAGTTATCACATCTTTAATACCTAAATAGTGTAAGTTCAACTATCCACCCCCGTCTTCTTAATTGATGGAATGAGTAATTGTGGTGTGGTTAGTAACGTTATATGTCCCTGAACTGGTACCGCCATACGGGTCTCTGGTTATGAGTCAAAGTATTTAAACGTGATCTTGTTTCTGATAATTAGACAATAAATCTTACTGAGAAAAATAATTTCTTTTTAAGGTTATGAGATTGGGGCAGAATGGCATCCACTGAAATCCGTCAAAATAACATAAACGAGTATTAAATCTCGATATGGTTTAACCGTCCTAAATTATTCATTATGTCTAAAGCTTTGTGATTTTATAATCTTTGCTTTCACGTTCTTGATGGTACAGTTTCATTTCAATTATTTCGTAGTTTTACTCATCTCCTAAGTAGAAAATGTGAAGTAAGAAAATCTAGTTCCTATCTAAATTAGGTTGTCACTTGTAATCTGACGTGTTATCCTGACCTAGGGCATCAACCAGTAGCTAACTCGTTCTCTCAGCGCTGGGTTGAATAATGGTCTTATCGAAGTTAAAATCAAACTCACTGATTGTCATAAATGAACAACAACTGCTATACGAGGATGAAAAAAGTGTATGTTACTTCCTGATTTAATGAAATATATCTGCTATTTGAACTAATCTTGTTGTATCCGAAGAAAGTTGAACTATTGGTAACTTCTGGGAACTATTTATAGACTATTATTATATATTTATTTATGTCTCTCTTTTCGTAAGCTTTTATTTGACCTATTAGCTACTATTATACGATTCACTCTTCTTAATTCTTTCCCAACCTCCTGGTTACAGTCTCCCACACAGTCACTTTTGACTTGAGTTTTTATATCTGTTATTTTTTCATTTTGTGGTGTGATGCCGTCTGGTCTGCTTGTATATGAACTACGTATGTCTGAAATATATGATTCATACATAGGAAGCTGATATTTTGTTCTGGACTCAATGACAGGGTTAGGCGAGAAGCTACCATATTAAAGACCAATAAGGATTCAGAGTGCTAGTTCTTGGTTTAGCACATGAACAAGGTCATAAAAGTCGGTATTCCAATTGGCGATTTTGTCACATCATAATTGACAGGGACAGAAGAAATTCTCAAGATACTATAAAATTAAATGTTCCATAATGATTAGTCGCAGAGTAATCGAACAATTGGAAATTCGCTTATGAAAATGATGCATATCTCACAAAGCTTGTTGGGATAAAAGATGATTATTGGCTTAAATCTGTGATGTAGAGCGAATCAATAATTGAAATGCATTCTTTTTCATTTCCCCTTGTATAATTACTTACTTTAATAAATACCGCGTTTGAAACGTTGTAATCACCCAGTTCTTATTCTTAAATCTATACGGACATTAAGGCTTCAGATATTTTTCAGTTGGGGAAGTTTGAAGAGTATATCTTATGTGGTCCATCAAAGCATTTACTTGGTGATTAAATATCTAAAAAACATTAAGAAACGTACATGAAGTACAAACGTAGGTATCTCTTTAACATTTTAAAATATACTTTCCAAGGATATTTATTTACAACACGACCAGTACATATTTACTCCCGTCATGTGTTTACTGATCAGGTGTGCTGCTGTTAACATAATTCACAATGAAGGCTTTATTGCATTTATCCTTATATATATATATTCTGTTTTTATTGATCCATAGTGATCACATGGTATCCCTAATGCCTGAAATAACACTGAATACAATTGTAAAGGTTTAAAATGAAATTCTAGATGGTCTTACTATTTTTGGCAGTAGATTTATATAAATTTGTTAAATCTTGTGAATTAAATGGATTTCATAAGAATTTGTCTTGTGTAAGTATAACTTCAGAGAAGTTGATTGGTCTTACTAATGCACTTTATTTCGTGTCAAAGTGTTACCTATAATCCTCTGGATGGTTTAATTCATATGGTTTTACTGACTGATCAACTCGTATTCTTTAGATTAGAATAAAGTTCTGTGATCGCTATTCCATTCAATATGTACTGACTCAAATGCAGATATTCTTTACAAGTAATCCCCGCTAACAACTTTTTTGTTTGTACAAAATCTAGTTTTTAGGGTTTTTACACACTAAATACACTACTTCAAGATACACAAGTAGTTTAATTACTTTCATTTAACTTTTTCGTTTGTTTTGATACAATAGACCTGTATGTGATGGGGCGAATTCCATCATGCTGACAACCGACTCCTGTTGATAAACAAAGTCTTCTCAGTTAAAGGATAAGTATATTTGTAGATACGCTTAAACATTTAGACAAATCATCCTACGAAAATCCTCAAATCTTTGAATTAATACAATCTATAAACTCACTTTTCTAACTTGGTTGGACTTATAGTGATAAATATTACCCTATTTGGAATTACTTGGTACATACTTCGATATCTTTTTACTTTAACTTGATAATAAAATTTACCTAAATTGCATAATCAGTAGGTTATCATCACATAAGGTGCTGTAACTTAGAATTATTCTGCACTATAACTTATGTTTTCTTAGTTGTAATAAAAAACACCAAACTGTTGTAGTGCATATCAGAAGTTTGAAGTAAGCACTGTTTAGTATTTCACATGTATTTGTTGAATAGTATTGTACAGTAGGAGAGAAAAAAAATGATTAGCACAAAACAACCTGTTCAGAGAAAACCATGCCAGTAGACGCTATGAGATTAAGACTTAGGGTTCTGTTATTATATCTAGCGGTATCGTGAGTGTGCTTTAATTAGAATTCACACACTGAGATAAGGCTGTCCGATACTCCCTGATTTTCGTTAAACTCTCAACTAGGATCAATCTATTACAACTTCTAGATAGTGAAGTAATTTCAACTAAACCTCTTCATCTAAACTACTCAATAAATGTTTTGAAAGTGGTTAATAACAACTAATAATCAATCAAAATGCATGGATTGACTTCAGCGACGTATCTCTTGTTTTCTGTAGAAGGAATTGCTAGGTAATTAGTGTTCAGATGATAAATAGAAATAACTTGTATTTAAAATGTTGATATCTGAAAACCCACTTCCTTTTTAATATGGAAATTTATCGAAGTCAGAAAAGAAAACGATACATGATAATCGAATGTAAGCAGATTCATTTGTAAAATCATAAGAAATTAGTTGACAACACAAGCTTTACAAATCTTAGAGTTAGTTTTATCATTCACGAATCTATGACCCATAATCCTCTACTCTTGACAAACTGAAGTCCAAATTGTTTATTAATCTAAAATTAGGCGATGATAAAATATGATCAGGAAACCCATTGTTTAAAAATTAGAAAACTATATATATTCTAAGGATGACTCGTTGGCAAACTCAACAAACCCAGGAAGAGCCAAGACATTCCGTCTAATCACTACTAGGGGAACATTCTAGAATGTCGACGTGTATCTTCCCTACTTTTCTACTCAATGCCTAATTTATTTGTAACTATCATGTCCACACTAGGCAGCAGTTCGCTCTGTTCTACTTTGCGCCTGCGAAACGTGACCATGAAGAGTAGAGGATACGCGTTAGTTACTAGTATTTGACCACAGATGTCTTAGAAATATTGCTCGCATCTGCTGGGATAACCGGGTAAGTAATTGTGAGGTTAGACACAGGGTATTAGGGAATGATGGTAAATCAGTTGATGAGGTGATGAATCTTCATCGACTGAGATGGTTGGGCCACGTGTTACGTATGCTTGAACACCGATTACCACGACACTCTATGATGACTAGTATAGGGGATGATTGGAAGAGAGTTAGGGGTGGCCAATCCAAAACGTGGAATCAATGCTTCAAGTTACTAACTTTTAGTCTGAGTCATGTTGGCAGATGCAGACTACTTGGTTGGGGTCCGCGTGACTATCGTAACCAATGGTTTGAGACTCTGGATGACATGGCTGAGAATCGACCAAAATGGTGTAGGTGTATACACTCTTTATCTTCCCTTAAACCTTGAGATTAAAATTGCTCCATATATTCCTTTCTTCCTGTACTATATACTTATATACAACCTTTCTTTTATATATTATCACCACTACATTAACTATTTCTATGAATTGCGTGTTCTTCTTGTTGTGCTACTGAGGTATGGCAACTTGGATCGATGGATATGTGCGCCTGATCCTACGTTGTAGCTGACTGACTGACCAACCTGGGCATGTATATCTACATTTGTTTTATGTTTTATACTCAAGTATCTATAAATGATACTTATCAAGTAGCATATAGATCTACACTACCCCTACTGTAGTAACACATATTAGTATAGTCTAAAGAATGCTTTCTTGAATTGACAAATAAAAGACTGTTTCCCTGTGTAAAATCCAATTTATAGCTCATCGGTCTGTTCATAAATCATCTATGTAACTTATCTCGCTAAATAACTGTACACACAGCTTAAATAACACCAATAAAATCACCAAAATATTATTACTAATATTAGTAACTTCCTTAATTTTATTTTCAGTCCATTTATCGGTAGATAATGAAAGAAATCTATTGCTTTATTTTAAAAAAAAAGTAATTACATTCTGGCCAAGAAAGTTTTGTTTCCAATAGCATCATTTGCTTACGCTATATATTTGTATCTAGAATGACTATAAACATTTGATCGTGACTTCAATAGCATATGTAGATAGACTAACCTAATTAAAGACACTCAATAAAGCATTTTTGTTGTATGGATACTAGAAAATACTCTCTCTTTCTTTATGCAGCCTAGTCACATCGCTCTTGTAGGTTAATGTTTCTTGATTTATGCTTTAAAAAACACGATTGTTATATCCCGAAAAGAATTATGAATAGTGACTTTTGAGAACTATTTATAGACCAATATGATACGTATATTTCCTGCTGTATAATTATTAAGTAACCTAAATATTCATATTCATGTTCCTTTTATTATAAGCTTTGTTTGATCTACGAACTATTACTATACGATTTACCGTTCTTAAGTTATCCGCAATCTATTAATTACTGCCTCCTACATTCATAGTCACATTTGGCGGAATCTTGTACAAATCTTATTTTCAATTTTATAGTACAATGTTGTCCGTCTGTTTGGTATATAAACCCAGTATGCTTGAAATAAATGATACATATTGCAGAGTCTGTTATTGGTGTTCTGAACTTAACTGGCTGGGCTAGACAGAAAGCAGGACCGATAAGTACTCCAGACTGCTCGTACGGGTTTCATGTGTCACTGGTTCGATCGATAAATCACTATTCCAATTGGTGGTATTATCACGTTCTACATTAACGGGGCGCGTACACACAGATATAAAAACGATAGTATTCATTCATAGTATGTAATTAAAAATGTATTTGAAATAAACCGATCGAAATAAAGTCACATCACTTTTTCCTCCAATTTGCATTATTCCTCATTCGTACAAAATTATCAGGCTTACCATATGTGTCAAAATCGTACTTTGTTGCTGGAAAATTACTGTCGTTATAATCGATCAGAACTATTCTCCTCAACTAATTTACTTTGGTAATTCCCTTAGAACTGAGTCTTTTTTTATAACGACTTCACTGATAATCCTTTTACTAGATAGATGGAGTATTTTAGTAATCAGTTTGCAAAGAAAACTAGGACCTATTTGCCAAGCATTTATATCAGTAGCATATCTCTAATATATCCTCTAACCGAATGGCGATTATATAATGGTATTTTCTCTAGCGATCTTAAAGTCAGATTTTTAAAACTGTACTTGATTTATCAAGTGACTTTTCTTGATAATTAAAATTCATAATGACAATGAGCTAATCTTCCTTTCAACAGTCTACCGCATAATTATAATAGTTATAAGAATGATTGTAAAACTTAAGGAAATGATTGAATTGTAAAGGTAAAATTTTTGTAACTTTTTATTATTTTTATTACGTATTCACGTGGTTCAATGTTTCATATTTCGACTTT